GCAGGCAGGTTGGCTGTAGTGAGCAGCCACGCAGGGCCTTGGACACTGTGTCCTGAGGACAGTGAGGGCCTCTGGGTGGCTTTACACAAGGGAGGTGACAATCGGATTTATACTTTAGATATGCTACTGTGGCTTCTGGAGAGGTGACAGGTGAGAGAATGGACCCAGGCAGAGGCAGGGCCGTGTAGGGTCCCATAGGGTCCCATGACTTAAGTTTAAAATCCACTTCCCTGTTTCCTACCTGGGGGTCACTGGACATGTCTACCTGTCCAGTCAACTGTGTCCCTTCCCAAATCCATAGGCTGAGGCCCTCAACCCCAGGACCTTAGAACATGACTGTATTTGTAGACAGGGCCTTAGAGAAGGTAATTAAGGTAAAATACAGTCCTTAGGATGAGCCCTCATCCAGCCTGACTGGGGTCCTCAGGAAAAGAGGAGGTTAGGACACAGACACACACAAAGGGACATCACGTGAGGACACGGGGTGAGGACGGCCGTCCACACGCCCAGGAGAGGGGCCCTGGGAGGAACCAGCCCTGCCCACGCTTTGATCTCAGACTTCGGGCCTCCAGAGCTCTGAGAAACCAAGTGTCTGTGGCTCAGGTCCCGCCTATGCTATTTGGGTCCGCAGCCCCAGCAAACTAATACGGTGCACCAGGCAGCATAGCAGGACAGGGAAGGAAGAGACAGATTCAAGTCGCTTGGGGGACTGGTGCGCCCAGCACACAGTAGGCACTCAGGACAAAGCTGCTGAATAAGGTTGGATTCAGCATGAGAGGGGCCAGAAAGGGGGCACTGGGGCAGCTGGGAGAGGGCAAGACAGGCCTGACCTTGCTGCGCAGTGGGTGGCAGCCAGGAGGCGGTGGGAGACATCGAAACTCCAGCCTTGTCCAGCACCCCAGTCCCAGAGCATTCACCCCCTGACCGCATTTCCTGCCTCTGTTCACCTGCTAGCCCAGATTCCCTGAAAAAGAAACAAAGGCTTTGGGGGCAGGGTCTTTCAGGACTACCAAGTTGGGAGTGCTCGGCAGGACAGGTGTCTGGAGCCTGGGGGAGAGAGAGGGAGGCCGAGAACAACCTGGAGCTAGGGGTGAACCCCTGAGCCCCCAAGGCCTGGGGCTTGGGGCGCTTTGGTTGCATTTCATTTCATTTGGTGTCAAGGGGACTGAATCTGAGCACATTGGAAAGTTTGGTTTTCAGAACCTCTCGGATATAGGAAACACTAAAAGCCAGAGAGAGCCTCCAGGGGCGAAAGTTACCCACAGCATCTCTGACCCCTTAAAAAATGAGTAGCAGAAACCAGCTCAGGCCTCTCTGGTGCTGGGAGAAACATTTCTGGGTCAAAAATTTCCAACCCATAAATTCCCCATGTTTCGAATTCAAAGGAGGACTGTGCAGGGCTGGGCTTTGCATAACCTTTCACATCCCAGAACTTCCTGCTTGGTGGCCTCCTGACAAGCGTGTCATCCAGGCCACGGTTCACAGAGACAGTCCTGAGGCACTGAGGTAGAAAAACAGATTTAAAAGTCAGACTCAAAGCTCGGTGCCCTGGATTTTGCTTGATCTGAAAGGGAAAATTTAAAAAAATATTTTTTTTGGCAAAAATGTTCTTGGAATGTGCACCTGGGGTGCGAGGCTGCAGCAGATTGGTTTGGGGGTCCCTCCTGTCCCCCGTTTCCCTCCACGCACACATGCCTGGGAGTCTCCCCGGTGAAGGGACCACGGCGACCCTCTCCCACACTCATCCCTCTTCACAACTGGCCAAGCAAAAGTCAACATCTTTGAAGTGCAGACTTGTTTATAAATGCAAGGCTTTTTTTTTTTTTTCCCCAGAATGTTTTGGGGCCTTAGCAGATTGTTATTTTAACTCTTTTCCCCAGATGTTCTTGCCATATTTGGGCAAGACAAGAGACTGGAGGACTTTTTGTATGTTTTTTCATGAGAAACTGCAGGGTCTGGGAGAAGACCAACGTGCCTGGGGTCTTCTCCCTCTCGTGGGTGACCCTGGGCTGAACCTTTGTGATCAGCTCGGCCAGTCCCTATTCAAGTCCAGGTTCACAAACAATCGTTGGACGAGAAATGTCAGCCCATAAAAATTCTTAGAGGAACCCCCACTGCTTTGCCCAAAAGATCCTTATCTCTGGGGCAGAGACTTTCTGTTACATTCTGTCCCGGGGTGATAAGGATCTGAGCATCTACTCCGCATGTCAGGGCTCTGATGATTGGACCCCTCCCCATATCTCTGAGGCCCAGAGACAGGAGCAGCATTTTTTTTTTTTTAAGATTTTATTTATTTATTTGACAGAGATCACAAGTAGGCAGAGAGGCAGGCAGAGAGAGAGGAGGAAGCAGGTTCCCTGCTGAGCAAAGATCCGAGGACCCTGAGATCATGACCTGAGCTGAAGGCAGAGGCTTTAACCCACTGAGCCACCCAGGTCCCCACACGTTTGTTTTTTAAAAACAGTTTTACTTGGGCAAATTTCAAACTGTAGACACATTTCAAGAACAATACAATAAATATCCATATATTTGGGAGGGGGCTGGAGGGGTGGGGGGAGAAGCAGGCTTCCCGCTGAGCAGGGAGCCAATGCGGGACTCTATCCCAAGACCCTGCAATCATGACCTGAGCAGAAACCAAGAGTCAGCCCTTCAACCGGCTGAGCCACTCAGGTGCCCCTACAGGTTGTTTTTAGTAAGAATTAACCGAGGGTCAGGGCGCCTGGGTGGCTCAGTGGGTTAAAGCCTCTGCCTTTGGCTCAGGTCATGATCCCAGGGTTCTGGGATCAAGCCCTATGTCGGGCTCTCTGCTCAGCGGGTAGCCTGCTTCGCCCTCTCTCTCTGGCTGCCTCTCTGCCTACTTGTGATCTCTGTCTGTCAAATAAATAAATAAAATCTTTAAAAAAAAATAAAAAAAGAATTAACCGAGGGTTGCAAGGGGCAGTGAGTTGTTTTGTCTCCTTCAATCTACAATGGTTCTCAGCCTTTTGTTTTGTGTTTACCTCTGCCTTTGCTGATAGAACATTTCAAAGCATCCGGGCCTACTGGCTTGCAGAAAGACCCTCAATTTGGATTTGTCCAAGTGTTTCCTTTTGTTTGGATTCAGGGTTAAGTTTTTGGATGGGAGCATTACCCAGATGGTCCCGAGCCTTCTGAGGCATGACCTGGGAAGCTCACGAGGTCAGTCCACCCCGTTCCTGGTCACGTGAGGTTCAAGTCCTTCACGAAATTGACACCCCGATTCCTGCACCTGTTGGTCCTTAAAATTCATTCCTCTGTGGTTTTCACACTGATTGAGAAGATGCTTTCCTGAAATCCATTATTACCAGCATGTTTGCAGAACGCTGGTTTATGTTCTGGCATTCCTTGTACATTTATTAGTTGGTGTTTTTTGAAGAAAAATGTTCTCTTTTACAACTTTTTAAAAAAAGATTTTATTTATTTACTTGACAGAGATCACAGGTAGGCAGAGAAACAGGCAGAGAGTGAGGGGAGGTGGGGAGCAGGCTTCCTGCTGAGCAGAGAGCCCATGCAGGGCTCGCTCGATCCCAAGACCCTGGGATCATGACCTGAGCCGAAGGCAGAGGCTTTAACCCACTGAGCCACTCAGGTGCCCCTCTTTTACGACTTCTTAAAAAAGTACCAGTATTGACTCATGGATTCATGTCTCATCCAATGGGCTAAACACGTTACTTCCACTATTTATTTTGTGTGCAAATTCCACCGCGCCGCTGGGAGCCTCTTCAAGCCCCTTCTGTGCCAGTACCTCGGATATCCCCTCATCACCTTCTAGCACTTTAGCATCTAGGCTCCTCTTGACATTCCCTGTCCCAGCCCTGGAGTGACCCTGTCTCCAAGGGGTCCTGGTGCCATTCACTGGGGACTGCGTTTCACGACCCAGAGTGCTGAGGGGGGCCTCCTGCCACTTGGGAGTCACTGGGGCAGACAGAAGAGCTCGGGAGTTGTTATTTTGCCACAAGGAGACTGCGAATTCAAAACTCCAGAAGTTCTTCCTCCTCCTTTCCAAATCTCCCTCTTCCTGCAGCGAGGGCCTGAGTCCTGACCCCAGTTCTAGGATACCGCGGGTCGCTCCAGAACCGTCTGCCCTCCCGGCTGCCTGGCTCCTGCGGATCGGGGTCCTGCTAGAGTCCTCTTCGCCCTTAGAGAGCTCTCTCCAAGCCAGCGCAGTCCGACGAGCCTTCCGGCGTCTCTCACACGGAGTTTTTGTACATGGGGCTATGACCTTCGTGTTGTACCTAGATTCCTTACTTTCTACTGGTTTCCAGTTTCAGTTTTCTCCTGTCCTCACTGACTTATGTCTGAAATGTAAAATGTAATATTTAAGGTGCTTGTGGAGAAAAAGCAGCATTACCGATGCCGGAAGGAACCATCTAGACCAGGGGAAGCCCCCAGCACGGTTTTCAAGCGCACCCCCCCCCCCCCAGAGCAGGCCTTTCGAACCAGCAGGTGCTGGGAGGCAGGACTGCGCTCCTCCCATCTGGGCGTTTCCGGGAGTCCGTTCCCGCCCTGGCCTCGCACCTGTGAACCCAAAGGGTCACCCTGGGGTCCCCGGAGGGCTCACAGGCCCGGGACTGGAAGGCTTCCGCGACGCACCTTCTCCGATTAGCCGGTTCCAGCTTCAGCAGAGCCCAGCCCTCACCTGGCGCTTAGTGGGGTCTCCATAAATAGCTGCGGGAATTAGCGCCCCCATTTCCCAGGGTGGAAGCGGCCGCTCAAAGAGGGGATGTCTTGCCCCCCGCCCCCGCCCCCCGTGTATCCCAGACGCCGGGACAGCGCCACCCCTGCCCACTCCAGCGGCGCACCCCCGCGCGACCGTAAGGGCGCGGGGAGAGGTCCCACCCCGCAGGTGGGCCCTCGGTCACGTCGTGGGGCGGGGCGTATGCAAATATCTCGCGAGGGGGCCGGGGATTGGCCGGCGCGGGTGGGGCGGGGCGGGGAGGGGCGGGGCCGGGCGCGCCGAGGGAGGGCCCGGGCAGCCAGGTGCGCTGACGGTGAAAGGTGCGGGGCTCCCGGGTCCCCTGCACCACGCGCCCGCGCTCCCGCGCTGTGTTCCGGGCTATGCCTCCGCTCTGGGCCCTGCTGGCCCTCGGCTGCCTGCGGCTTGGCGTGGGTGAGCGAGGAAGGGGGAAGGGGTTGTGCCCTGGGAGGGCGGGCGGCTGAGTCCCGGGCCCTGACCCTCCCGCTGTCCTCAGAGGAGCCGCGGTGGCGCACGGCCTTGGGGACGGGAACTTCGCGTGTTCGCTCCAGGAACAGGCAGGATGCTGCTCTGCGCCATGCCGCAGGCTCTGGGGATTCAGATACTACTAATAAAAACAACACCGATTAATAATTTCCCTTGGGTGGGGGTTCCAGGGCTCATGGGTCACAGGTCCCTGGATGGGTCCTGTGAGAGACAGACGCAGCCACAGAAGGGGCCCAGCAGGAGAGTGACAGGGTCAGACTTGCGTGTTAGAGCAAAGGACTGGGGCTGGGGGGGAGGCTGGTTCCTGGGGTCCTAGTGAAAAGAGAACTCGGAGACTGGGCTGACTGGGTAGAAGAGATGCTTTGGAGAGGCAGTGGGGTTCTTGGCAACTGGCCGTCTATGGGTGGGGAGAGAAGGCAGCCATTAGTCTGGGCTGCTTGGTTTGGGCAGGGAGGATGGCTGGTGAGGGCTGGGGAGCTGCCTGGGTGTGAGAGATTCTTGAGATGGCCCGTGGGAAGGTCAAACCCCAGGGCCCGCACACCCTAGGTGCCCAGTGTTGTATGCAGACATGGGGGTGGCACAGAGTGTGCCTGCGGGTGTGGACAGTTCTACTGGAGATCAGCTCCCGTCCTCACTGCCTCCTCTAGGTGTGAACCTCCAGCCCCAACTGGCCAGCATGACCTTTGCCACCAACAACCCCACGCTCACCACTGTGGCCTTGGAAAAGCCTCTCTGCATGTTTGACAGCTCAGTGGCCCTCGACGGCACCTATGAGATCTACCTCTATGTCCTTGTCGACCTAGGTAAGGGTTCTGCTTCGCTTGGGCTGCGCTGAAAGGGGAATTGGCCTGTGCAGGGAGGAGGAAAGGAGGCAGGTAGTGGGACGCTTTTGCTTTGTCGTTCAGCTCCCGCCATGCACCTCGCTGTGCTTGCTCTGGGCCAGCCCTGGGCTGTGTGCTGCAGCCACACGTTCCTCTTTGCCCCAGAGAAATGTCCCAGCTAGCGGAGAAGTGCAGACGGCACCGGTCACTGAGCACATACATGACCCTCAGTGCTCTGCATTCCTTAGCCCTAACATTGCAAGACATCTGTCCCATCACAGAGCCAGGAATCAGCGGAGGCTGGAAAGCGAGCCCAGATCTCTGAGATGCCTCCAGCCCCAGCCCTTCCCCAGGCTTGCCCAGGTGGGGCACGGCCGGTGTTGGTCAGGAGAACCATGCGCTTGGACTCGCGTGCTCTGGGCCAGTCCCTCCTGTTCACCGGAGCAATCCTGGCTTCTGGGAGAAGGAACCCAGTGACAGCCTCTTGCATTTCTGGTAGCCGGACGTGTGCAGGAGCTCATTCGGGGCCCTCCCCTGGGCCCGGGCCCAGTGTGTGCATACCATGGGCTCTTTCTCTCCCATTCACAATCGGGGCCAGCGCTCTCAGGGGGAGGGAAATGATGGAAGTCTGTCGGGGTAGGAGGACCTGTAAGCTTTTACTGGCCTGCAGGAGGAGGAACCTTCCTCTTGCCCGAAGTCCAGGGGTGCTGCTGTCTCCCCCAACGTGCAGGGAGCCCCTGAGGCAGGCCCTGCCTGGGACCCCAGGGTCCAGCACCGCACTACTCAGAGGATGTTCGGGGGTTGGGTGACCGGCTGAGGGCGTCCTGTTGAGCCCGGGGTGGCCAGGAGCTTACCACCACTGCCGTCCCTACAGCGAGCTCCAGGAACGCCTCCGTGCAGGATGACAGCAGGACTCCCCTAAGCTCCACATTCCAGCAGACGGAGGGAGGGAGGACAGGCCCCTACAAGGCTGTGGCCTTTGACCTGTCCCCCTGCAGCGACTTGCCCAGCTTGGATGCCCTAGGGGACGTGGCCCGGGTCTCGGAAATCCTGAATGCGTACCTCGTCAGGGTGGGTGCCAACGGGACCTGCCTGTCAGACCCCAACTTCCGGGGCCCCTGTAACCCGCCCCTGTCAGCAGCCACGGAATACAGGTGGGTGTGAGCAGTCGCGGGGGAGGGGCCGCTATGCCCCAGCCCCTGCTCAGGAAGACCCAGGAGGGGTGCGGCGTGGGGGCCTCATTTCTTGTGCCAGGACCATCCCGGGTCTCCTGAAGGGACATGCTTCGGGCCGTGCGACCTGCCCCAGGCGCTCAAAAGGACTCCTGCTTGCCTGAATCCTCCACCACTGCCACTTTGAGATCTGCATTTTTTTTTTTAACAGGGGGCCTGCGTTTCCATTTTGCACGACTCCACAAATTCTGCGTCTGGTCCCGGCTCATCCCCCGCGTGGCGGTCACTTACCCAATGCACGTCATCCGCCAGGGGAGGAACCTAGCTGGCCCGGAGAGGGAAGGAGGTCACTGCGTGAAAAGCAGCGGCCACACTCAAGGCTTTTCCAGCTCCCGCATCATCCTCGCTTTTTCCGGCCTCCTTCTGGCCTGTGCTTTTGTATCTCCTCCCCCTCCTCCACCCCATCCCCGACCCCAGGGGTCCCTGATTCCTTTTCACACTCCTTTCTTCTCCGTGCAGAGTCCCGTGGCCATGGGGTCTCGCCCGGTACACCCATTCCCGTTACCATGGAAACGCCTAAGGCTGAGTCTTTGCACCTCCTGGGCACACCTGGGGCCCAGACCATCGCTCAGCCGCCAACCTGACTGGGGGCTCGCCTCTCCTTTGGCCCCAGCCGCAGGGCAGGATGAAAGCCTTAGTGTCTGTCGCCTCCCCATCCTCATCCTCTGACCTCTGACCTTATTCGTAATGTGGGAGAACCTCTCCCTCCACCTACCTCCTCCAGCCTCCTGACTGGGGGACACAAGGCACATATCCCAGCTTCTGGAATTCTCCTCTTCAAACCCAGAGAAGTGGGAGATTAGGCAAAACACCGGAAGCTGTAGAGATCTGAAGGGTCTTCATTTTTTTCAAGTGTTAAGTGAGAGGCTGTTGGTTTCGGGTTCTCAGACCGTCCGTCTTTTTAAACTGACTGTATCTGAGGCCTCAGGTGGGAATCTTGTGCTGATCTTCCTTTCTGATTAGTGACTTTTAGCTGGGGTTTTCTACATAAAAGGGTAGTCCTGTCCCGGGGCAGTTGGGATGGGGATAAATATTACTCCTTTTTTTTTTTTTTAAGTCCCTTTTGTGATATATACTCGTCCTGCAGATAATAGAGAGACGGGAGCCCCAGAGGGAGAGCTGAGAGGAGGGCTGCTGAAGTCTTCATGGAAAGTGTCCAGGGGCAGGATTAGGGGGTAACAGCACCATGGCCAAGCCCAGGACTGTCCTGCTGCCCAGAGCCCACTCTATGGCTTCCATCTTTTAGAAGGATTCTCTCTGCCCCCCAACACCCATCACAGCAATCCCTTCACCTGCCTGTGGCCGGGCACACAGGGTAGACAGAAGTCCCTGTCTCTCCATCTCCCTGCAGGTTCAAGTACGTCCTTGTCAACATGTCCACGGGCTTGGTACAGGACCAGACCCTGTGGTCAGACCCCATCCGCACCAACCGGCGTAAGTAGTGGGTCTGGGCTGGGGGGCGACCCTCGGGCTGTCACTCAATCAAGTCTCCCCAGTCACGGGCATGCCAGTGGGTTGGTGAGGAGAATGTATCTTAAAATGATGTGACCGGAAATCCCCCGGGTGCTGTGGTGGAGGCAGGTGAAGGGCAGGCTGGCATGATTGAAGTCAAGGCATTTGCCTCCAAGGGGCATGGACTTTACCCTGCCTTTCCATCCTAACCTGCCCCTTTGTTCAGGCCTCACAGCCATGTGACACGGCTCCAGAGGATTCTGGGTGGTTCTGGAGGCAAGGACTCAGTGCAGGGGGGAGCCTGGAAGGGAGCAGGAGTGCTGCCCATCTCTCCACCCCATTCTCTGGAGACTGGGTGGGCTTCCTAAAGGTGGGGGGTTCCGAGGCCTAGGCACCTGCCTGTGGCCCTGCCCTGTCCCTCCTCAAGCCTCCATCCGGGTTCTCAACATGCATTCGAGGTTTATACCCAGAACCGTGTCTGCTGAGCCTGAGGGGCAATGGAAGAGATTTCCGACAGCAACCTTGACAGCACCCGACCCTAAGTTTAGAACCTTCTCCCACAAGATGAGACTTCATGCCAGGATGGGCTCAGCCTAGAGCCGAGAATTTAACCTGTAGAGCACCCCCCCTCCCCCGCACCATGGGAAGCTTATGGGGCACGAAGTAGTTCTCACAGCTTCCTTGAGGTCACACAGCTAGTGAGGGGTGTAGACAGATGTGTGTGCGCATGTGGCCGGGGTGGCCCCCTCCCCGCCCTTCCAGTGGCACGCCCGTGTTTTGTGGTTCCCCTACAACAGGGCTGCCTTGGGACCATGAGTGCTGAGTTCAAGCCCAGCCTCTGCGCCTCACTGCTCTGTGACGCCCTCAGGACCTCAGTCTCCACATCTGAGAAATGGGAAGAAAAATCCTTGCTCTGCCTCCCCAGCAGGGTTCCTTAGAGTAATCCAGACAAAAGCGCTTGGCCTGGCTCTTTTGGGGTCAGCTAGTGGGGAGAGTGTGCCCTCTGGGACCTGACAGACCTGTAGGCTTGAGTCTGGAGTCCAAATGCCCTTGACAGGAACTCGAAATCCCTCCGTGGCAGTGAGTGATCTAAAGAATGCGGGTCTTGTCCGGTCTACATGGGAATGGCCAGAAAGCGGCCAGCTCATGGGACAACCTATAAATTGTCCACTTAGTTCCAGAAGGGTGACACGGGCCGGAGCAGAGCAGGGGTCATGGGGCACCCAGCTCCCTTAGGCCAGGGCCCGTTGTCTCATCTCTACTTGCTATGATCCGTGTCCCATCCATTTCACCAGAGTTGAGTCTGTTTAGAGTTTAAAATTATGCAGAAAGACAGTTAAAAGAGGAGGAGACGAGGGAGTTGGCAAGAGGGCGTGGGGCAAGCAAGGTAATTGCACCACAGACCTGGGGGGAGACAGATTCTGACCTGGGTCCCCGCTTCATCCTGAGATCTGTGGCTGCCAGGGTGGTGTGGGGTGGAGGGTGTTCCCGGGAGAAGTCTGGGGGTGCAGTGTCTGGGGGCTAAGCGGGCCTGTGTCCCCTCAGTCACCCCATACTCAGCGATCGACACGTGGCCCGGCCGGAGAAGCGGAGGCATGGTCGTCATCACGTCCATCTTGGGCTCCCTGCCCTTCTTCCTGCTCGTCGCCTTTGCCGGTGCCATCGTCCTCAGCCTTTTGTGAGTACCTGCCAACTGGAGGGCAAGACTCCGGGCCACCCTGGACACACTCCACCCAGAGGGTCTTCCGAGGTGGGGGTGACCCCAGAAGGCGAGGGAGCTGCCTTCCATCCTGGGTGTGCATGTGGGGGTCCGCTGAGAGGGGAGCAGTGTCCTGGGGTCGTCAGGCTGGGTAGGGAGGGGCTCAGCCCTAACGCCTCTCCTTCTATGCCTCACCTTCCTCATCTGGGAAATGGGGATACTAATACATCTTGTCCTTCCTGTCATGACTGTTAAGTGACATGATCCCCGCAGAGTTCTTAGGCGGTATCTGGACCCTGAACAGCTCTTAGCTTTTTTTAGTCATGATTCACCCACTGACTGGACAGGTGGGGAAACTGAGGCCAGAGGGGTTAAGGGTGGCTCAGCGTCACACAGCCAGTTAAAACAGAGCTGGGACCAGAGCCCTGGTCTCTTGAGGCTCCCATCAGCTCCGATGTGTGTGTGTTTGGGTCGGGACTCGAGGTCTCCTGTGTGTGTCTGGAGCAGCTAACAGGCCACCTGGTGGGTGTCAGGTGCACTCACGATCCTCTGATCCTGGGGGGCCGGCACAGGGGGTGCGTCGGGGCTCCAGCGGGTGCTGTGGGAATCCAGAGGAAGGTGAGGAAGGCCCCACCTGGAGCACCAGGGTGGGCTTCCCGGAGGAAGCGGCAGCAGGAGCAAAGTTTCTCAGCCAGAGGGAGGGAGCCCCCAGGAGGCTTTGAGGACGGCAGGGGGCCTGTCCCAGCGTGGATGGGGAGAGCGGATGGAAAAGCTTCCTGGAGTAGGTGAAATTAGTGCACACAGAAATCAGCTCGGTGGGAACGCCGCGGGGAGGATGGAGTAGGGGGCAGTGAACTTGCAAATCAGGTTGCCCTCAGACATTTAAGTAATAAAAACAAATAATAGATAAGATTAGCCACCAAGAGTCTGGTTTGTCTGGCCAGACCTGGGAGTGGGAGGACAGACTTCTGTCCCTCCCTCCTTTTGGACAACACCGTCCTTCGGGAACCCAAGTTCCTGTTACCTGACTGTGGCCTGGATCCTGCATTTATCCCTCCTCGGTCCCCTTCCGGCTCCAGCCCCACCAGACTTCCCACTGTGGCCTCAGAACTCTCAGCGCTTCCTGTCACATGCCTGGAATGCCTTTCCCAGCCCCCACCCTCCTCCTTCAGGGCAGAGTAACTGTCCCCTCCTCTGGGAAGCCTTTCCATGGTTCCCACCTGGACGGCTCCATTCTGTCTGGGCATTGTTTGCTGGGCATGCCCAAGACGGCAGCCGGGAAAGCAGTGTCTAAGTAAAAACTCCCCGGCCAGCTAGAGGGGTTTAGACTTGCTTGGTGCCCCTAACCCTCGCCCTCTTTGTCCCCTTGGTCAGGGACACAGGCAGCTCGGACAGGGAAACGACACACGACTCCCAGATCACGCAGGAGGCCGTCCCCAGGTCCCTGGGGACCTCGGAGGCTGCGTACACATCTGTGAACCGGGGGCCGCCGCTGGACCGGGCCGAGGTGTACACCAGCAAGCTCCAGGACTGAACCCGGGCTCCAACCCCAGGCGGCCACACTGTCCTGGCTGGCCTCACCCTGGGGACAGTGGGGGGTGAGGGTGGGGAGGGGGTGTGTCTGCGCACAGCAGGTGCTCACGCCCTGACCCCACCCGAGGAACAGGGCACGTTGGTCCAACTTGCGGGAAGGCTTCTAATAAAATCTTCCCAAGATTCTGAGTTCGAAAGAGACGTACTGAAGGAAGGAGTGAGAAGGTGGTGAATGAGTCGATGTCATATGGAGGGGTCGGATTATTTCTCTAGAGGGTGGGGGCAGGCGTCTGATTTTCCATCGGAGTGGGGGTGGTGAGGGTTAGGGAAACTGAGGCTATCGGAACATCTGGACGATGGGTCCTGAGAAACGGGCTGTGCGTGCAGTCATTAGATGGTGTTTGGGGTTTGCTGGCTGTGAGGTCCTAGAAGCTAAAGTGGGCACCCCAGGGGGGCAGCTGCTGGCAGCTCCTGTCACCCCCAGCAGCTGTCTCCTTCCCTCTGGGGCTCAGCTTCCTCATCTGTAAAATGGGCTGATATAAATGGCTAATTTCAAGGCTCCTTCTCAGCTTTCCCTGAAGGCCCAAGTTGGGCAGGCAGAAGAGGCTTTGGGATGCAGAAGAGGGGTACCAGGTCCACTTGGGGGATGAAGGGACTCCCCCAGCCCTGCTTCTCGGCTCGGATGACTCACTTCCCTCTTCTGAGCCAGGTAGTAAGACCACTTCCCTTTGGGGAATGAGCAAAAGGAGTCACAGTCCCACTTCCCTTTTCCCTGAAAGAAGAAACGTGTCAGAGCCAGTCCGGGTTGTAAAGCAGGAACACTACCCGTCGGCTTGAGGAGGCCGCATTCCCGAGCAGTGCCATGCTCCCCACGGGCCTTCATCACCAGTGGCGGGATGGGGTACTCTGAGGGCCCCGGATCATCCTCTAGGGGCACAGATGCTGAGACACACACAGATCTGCTAGAGGGTTCCAAGGCAGAGGAGGCAGGAAGGAGGCAGAAGCTATGGGAAGAAGCCTAAAGGCAGGGAGGGGTCTGGAGAAGCCAGAGCCACTGAGGGTCCCTGGAGCTGAGAGGAGCCCAGACCCTGGGCAGTGGGGATGGGAGGGGGTGATGGTGCCGCTCTCTAGGGGGCGCCCAGCCCAGGTGTGCCATGGACTAGCTCGTGATCCCTCCAGACTGTCTTCCAGGATACCAGAGTCTGCCTGAGCAGCCGCTGGAATTCCCACCTCCCCCGTCTTGTGTGTCCTCCCCAACCCTGTCTCCATTAGGACAGTCCCTCAGCGCTTCTCTCTGAGAATGCCCGGCTGCAGCAGAGGGGAGGAAAAGCTCCCTGGAAGTCCGCTGCTGTTGGAAATTCATGCAAGTTTGCATTCTGCTTCTAACATGTCTGTCTTTATCTTATTTTATTTTTTAATTGAGGTGAGATTGACATAACATAAAATTAACTGTTTCAAAGCAAACAATTCCTTGCCATTTAGTACATTCTCAGTGTTATGTAATCATCACTTCTACCTAGTTCCAGAATGTTTTCATCACCCCAAAAGGAAACCCTGCACCTATGAAGCAGGGACTCCCCATTTCTTCCTCCCCCACCCTGTGCCCCTGACAGACACGGATCTGCTTTCTGCCTCTACGGATTCACCTGCTTGGGACAGTTCATATCGATGGAGTCAGACACCATGTGGTGACCTTCTGTGCCCGGCTGCTTTCACTTTCTCCTATTTTTGAGGTTTATCCTCATTGCAGCGGGCGTCCGAACTTCATTTTTGTGGCTGAGGAGTAAACAGTGCGTTACACGGGTCTCGTTCATCAACTGACTCGTGGACACTCGGCTTATTTCCAGCACTTGTTACCGCGCTGCCGTCCGGCATGGCTCTGGGCACGCCTCTTCATGGACTTGTGTGAACGCCCGTTTTCAGGTGTCTTGGGCGTGCACCTAGGAGGGGAATTGCTGGGCTGCACAGCCATTCTATGTCTGACATGCTGGGAACCACCAAATTGTTTTCCAAGTGGCCGTACCATTACGCATTCCTGCCAGTGATGTCACTTGTGTTTATTTTAGGATCAAAACAGCTGGAGTGCTTCGGTCGCTGTGGAGAGGGCCCCAGAATTATTCTATGGACTTGGATCTGGATCCATTCCCTACCCCGCTATTTGAAAAGCAAGACTCCCCTGGTAACCCAAGCCCCTCTCTGTTAGCAGAAACTCCCACCTCTCTGGAGCAGCGGGTCTGTCGCCGTCCCTTGATGCCAAGTCCTCTTACCGCCAGCCTGGGTAATTGAGGGCCCAGGGCAGGTGACCCTCCAGCTATGGGGACACCTCAGCACTAGCTCACGACACAAAAGCTGGAGGGACAAGCCGCTGGAACGCAGATGGGCAGACCCATCCTGGGGCCGTGGGGAAGTGAACGAATGAATTACCGTGTGTCCGTTGCTCAGGCAGGACCCAGCTGCCTTGGTGATGAGTCTCCTCTCCCCAGGGAGCATTAACGTGGTCATGCTACTGGCCCTGGGGAGACTGTCGGGAGAGGCTGCTGGCCTCCCTGGAATCAGACAGATCCGACTCACCTGTCAGCCGGGAGACCCTGGGAGACGCACTGTGCCTCGTGCAGGCTCTGGGTCCTCATTTATAAACAAGGTGCCGGGAGTGGGGTACGGAATGCACCCGCCATGCGTTCGTGAGGATGAAATGGAACTCGGCCTTTCGGTCATTACTGGGCCTCCCTCCATGATGGCTCCCTCCTCGCAGTTGTCTCTGTCTACAGCGGCGTCTAGACTGAGCTAGATTCATGTCCGTGACCCCGTGTCGCCCAGCTCAGCACATGGCAAGGGCAGGAAGGGGCAAACGGAGTTTGGGTGTGACTTCTGGGCCTGGGGCCGGGGCTGCTGAGTCCCTTGTGGTGCCCTCAACCAAAATGGGGGACAAGGAGGTTGGGTTGGAGGGTATCAGGACTTTCGGGTCACTTAGAAGTTGCCTCTGATGTAGCAGGTGGAGCTGAGTGGAGACGGTAGTGTGCTCACATCTGCAAACCTGGGGGGAGCTCCGTAGCAGTCTGAAAGCAGGATTGGAGGTATCAGAGATCACCCATGCCCGCCCCCCACACTTTGAAAAGGTTATACTTGCCTTCCCCACCAGCATCAGGCCCCACCCGGGATGTGCTGCGGCCACTTCTGAGCGGCAACTCAAGAGCCATCAGGTGGTTCCCCTCTAGCGAGGGAGCCCAGTGCCCAGGGGCTGCCCTGCCCACCGCAGGCATGAGGGAAGAAGGCCCATGCGTGCAGCACAGCCTCAGCCCACGGGTGCCGCACACGGGAAGGAGACCTTGTGTTGCAGGCCACTGGGACCTCAGGCCTGGCTGTCCCTGGAGGGGAACAGCTCCCAGTCTCTGCCCGGAGGCCCCTGTGCGTAGTCACATAGGCCTTGGACGAAAGACTTCCCCACGGCTGCTCTGAGTCTTGGCCGAACGCCCCGGGGTACCCCCTGGACAGATGAGCCCAGGAGGCGTGCGAGTTGTCGCCACAAGGCTGAGCGGCACCCGCGTCTGCATCTTCCCAGGAGGCTGCCAGGAGCTGGTGTCCCATCCCCGGGTTCCGATGAGGTCTGAGGCTTCCTGCCTCACCTTCCTCCCCTCCTGGGGGTGAGGCTGTCCCAGGAAAGGTCGGTTCAGGGTGTCCCATGATTCCTGCGACAGCCTCCTGGCCCCTTCTGCTTCGGAGTCAACCTGGGGCGCGTGGAATGCAGGGAGCTGGGGTCTTGCTTGGCTCATCCTTCGTTGTCTACATCTAGCAGGGATTAGGGTGTGTGTCAGCAGCCGAATCCGGCGCCTGGCCCGGACACCCCGCATGAGCTGCAGCAGGCTTTCTGATATGCTGAGCAAACATGACGTGTGGCACCGCGGGACGGGCTGGGCTCACTAAAGGGGGCTACAGAGAAGGCAAAGGACAGAGCCCGTTCAGCATGGGGACCGGGAAGGAGGGATGCCCAAGGGGCAGGAAGAGAACTCACTGGAAATCTGAACCCTACCTACCCGCTGTGACCGCACTCTGTCTCTGGCCTCCTTTCTCCTGCTCAGCCCCAGAACCTTCCTGTCACGGAGACAGTGGCGCTGTTGCTCACCGTGTCGCCCCAACACACACTTCCGGGGAAAAACCAGCCTGTCTGGAGTCCTTCCATCGGTCCCTGGGGAATGTGGCTCCCACGCCGCCACCCCCCCCCATGTAGCAGCAAGGGAGGAAAGGTCAACCAGCATCCTGCAGAGGGGGAGTTCAAGGCACAGGCCAAGAGTTTGCTAAGTGCCAGCCCGCGGTCTCCAATCCGAGCAGAATAACCCGCGTCGGTGGGCAGAGGCGGGTGGCCAAGCTGAGTGGGGCTCATGAGTTCTGGTCGGGACTGATGCCTCACAGAAACTTTTAATTCTACATACCCGCGGGGGAAATTTTCCTGGCTCACGTCTCAGATTCTGAGGCAGCCCCTCTCCCCACTGTCCCGCGGCCGAGGTGGCAGGGCTTTTCCAGCTGAGCCTTCTGCCTCTGCACAAGTATTGCTTCACCTTCCTGCCCACCCCAGTCAAGGCTTGGAAATTAGCTAATCACACAGACATGCTGTGTGACCTGGGGCAAAGGAGGAACCTCTCTGAGCGACCTTGATCTCATCTGTGCAAAGAGGGTCAGAATGCTGTAGTAGCCCGCTCTAAAGAGGGTGATTTTTTTCCCCGGGATCTGATCAATCACAAAGTGAGGCCATTCAGTTCAACCCAATCAAACCCCAAACCCTGGGCTCGGGAAAGCTTGGAGCCACCTGTCCCGGCAGAAGAACAGAAATGCACGGAGGAGTCGTCAGAGCAGAGCCTTGCACCCGAGCACAGTCTGACCTTCAACATACAGGTCAGGCCACTGCAGGAATCAGGGCTGGAATAGTCAGGAGGGCTTCCTGGAGGAGGGGGTACTTTTCTCAGATTCCTACCATTTCCAGATCCAGAGCGCCTGAGGTCTGGGATCATATTCCATGGCCCTGTCACTGGTGTTTACTCAGATGCTGAGTAAACAGTGACAAGTTCCTGGGATGTCGTGTTTCTTGTTCCTCCAGTTTTAATAATTTTAAATTTCACAAACAACGCAGCATTGGGCTGCTTGAGAAAAGAGAAGAGGAAGCCACAATGCCCTTGAGTGGGGCCTCAGCCTCATGTCCCGTGCTCTCCTCTGGAGTACCGAGGTCACATTCATTTTGTCTCCTCCTAGCCTCCTCCTCAGAGCCCTCTACTTGGCTGGAGAGGGGCCTACATCACTATTGCCCCTCCTTTGTGGCTCATGTGACCATCTGAGGATGGACATGGCAATTGCCCAGAGGCAAGGGCTGGTGTTCTGGGTAGCGTGGGCGCCTTGCTCACCCAGTCCCTCCCTTATGCCAGCCGTGGGGCGACCCTGGGGGCGTGGCTGTCCCTGGGAGCTCAAAAACACCTGCTGGGGCCCCTGTGGCTCCTCCCCCTGCCCAGGGAGGCCCTCACCTCGTCCTCCAAAGCTTGCCCTCTCTTCCCACCCCCAGTGAACTCCGGTGCCCTGTACGACAATCCCAGGCCTCAGAACACGAAGGGGCAGTGGGGGAGGTTTGTCCCAAGTCAGACATGCCGTCAGAACATGAAGGACGTCCCAGAACCTGGACGTCTACCTGGCCTGTCTACCTTCTATCTGGCCTGTCTACCAGCTTGTCTCCCTGCTTACACCCCTCTCTTCATCTGGTTCTCCATTGGCAGTCGGTGCTCCTAGAATGTCGTGTCCTCTCACAGCTGCTCTGCTCCAGGTTTCACCAAGTGCAGAAGGCAAAATCTTCCCTCGACGGTGGGACTGCCGGAGCGGTCCTGCCCGTCGGCTGCCTGCTGCTCTCACACACCATCCCCCGCCCCCCGCCGCCGCAGCGTTCCTCGTTCTCCGTCCCAGGCACACTCGGGTGTTTCCAGCCTCGGGCTGTTAGGGATACAGCTGCCGTGAACATGTGAGCTTTGACGTGAGCGATTTTCATTTTCTTCCGGGATGGAGAGCCAAGGGTGCAGTTGTTGGGTCACAGGGCAAGTGTGTGGTCACTTTTTAAAGAAACAAGTGAACTACTTTCCAGGGGGGCTGGAAACCACTTACATTTCCCCAGCGGTGGGTGGATGAGCCAATTTTTCTGCATACTTCCCAGCATTTGGTGTTATCACTATTTTTGGGAAAAATATTTTATTTTTTTGAGAGAGAGAGAGCGAGCGAGCATGGGAGCGGGGAGGGTCAGAAGGAGAAACAGAGTCCCTGCTGAGCTGGGAGCCCAATGCTTGGCTCAATCCTGGGACTCTGAGATCATGACCTGAGCCAAAGGCAGATGCTTAACCAACTGAGCCCCCCGCCCTCCCCCCCCAGGCACCCCACCATTTTTTATTTTAGCCTTTCGGTAGGTGTGCACTGGTTGTAACACTTCACGTTTCCAGCGGCCGAGTGTGAGAGTTCCGGTTTCTCCACACCCTCAGCAACACTTGGTGAGGTCAGTGTTTTTCATTTTGGCCATTTGAGTGGCACACAGTGCTGTCTCATTGTGGGTTTGATTTGCATCTTTTCATGTTCTTATTTGCCATCCACGGAGCTACACCGATGAAGCATGTGTTCAAGTTTCTAGAAAATTGGGTTGTCTTATTATGCGTTCTTTCTATATTCTAGATTGGGTCCTTGCTCTGGTATGTGTCTTGCGAATTTCTCCTTGGTCTGTGCATCGCCCTTTCATCTTCGTTGTGGGGTCTGTCCCTCACCTAACTTCCCTTTTCTTTATAGCCTTGTCCCTCCCTGATAGGTGTGTTTACTGCCTGCTTCCCCTCCTACGGTGTCAGCCCCATGAGTTCAGGGGATGGCTCTTGGGCCACGTCCTCAGCTCCTAGCACAGTGGGTAGGCAGTACCTATTTGTTCAGTGGCCATGCCGGTCCCCTGGCCATATCACAGCTGCAGGGGTGGGGGACATGGATTGCTGAGGGGAGACCCTACAGCAGGTTGTTGTGAACTTTTAGGTCAGCATCAGGGAGGTCTGAGCTGGGGCATGGGCATGAGTGGCGACGGGGCAGAGAAGAGGCCAGACCGACTTTTCCAATGTGCATTTGCGAAGCTCCCTTCCTCCCTTCTCCTGCCAGCAGAAGCATCCCACTAGCCACACACGCCCCACCTCTGTCCAGCGCTGGCATCGCGGCTCTACTTGCTGCAAGGCAGGAGCAGCGGAGCTTCTACAGGAAACTGACGGGGGAGGGAGTGTCCAAAAGGCATCATCAGCTCCTTTGCCATTGGAGTGTCTACAGCGTGCATGCTTCATGCAGGGACATAAATGCACAGGGCGAGGGTGTGTATGTGCCATGTGTGTTGTCCTTGGCAGGTGTGGTCCAGGGTGTATGACGCCTGGATGTCGGGCTTCTTACACCAGTGCTACGCGTCTGTGTGCTGGGGTGTTGGCCTCCCAACACAGTAAAGCAACAGCTTCTTCTCCAGGACGGAAGGACTGTTGGCTGGTTGCTGCTGTCTTTTCTGTTTCTCCCTCCCGGAGACCCTGTCTGGGACTTTATGCCTTCTCTCTGCCAGTGCCAGCCTCCCTCTGTAGCCAGACAGCCCCTGGCTGCGGTTCCCAGCAGATCCCCACTTTGCAACTTGGCCTGTGTACTGAGTCCTGTTGTCCAGTCTGTTCAAGGGGAATAATACCTACCGGGTACGGTGACTGTGAGGATGAAAATGTGCAGGAAGAGTTTACAGGACGTGCATGTAGCACGTGCTCCATAACAGCAGTGAGCACACGCGCACAAAAGCAGGTCCGTTCCAAGAACTGCAGCGTTTCACTGGGTAGCCCCTGTTGCGTGCCCACCAGAGCACCAGCCCTCCGGAAACGAGTGGAGTCCGTCCCTGGGCTGGGGACGATGGGCCTCGCTGTCTCACGGACACACCTGTTCACTCTTTTGTTCAACATCCGCTAAGGCTCGCGCCAGCTGGGTGGAGGCTAGGACACAGACGACTACACCATGTGACACGCACACCACCATGCCAGCGCCATGCCAGCCCCTTATCTACCCCGAGAGCGCTCAAGGCTGCCAGGTGGCACCACCTCTCAGTAATTTTCCACAACCCGAGAGAAGCTGCGTCTCTCTTGACATCATCCCGATGGCGCCTTCGAAAGGGGGCAGCTCCGAGAGCTGGACGAAGGGACGCCGACCGGACGAGGGCTCAGGTGAGTGCCCGGCACCGCACAGGGAGCCCTCTTCCGCTTGTTTACTCCCAAGCCACCGTCTGTCCCCACAGTGCCCTGGCCCCCGAGAGTTCACAGGCCGCTGAACCTCAGAAGCTTCCCGGGTGGTATGGGCTGGGCTGGGGGTTAACAACCAACTTTGAGACCAGGCCCGGAAAACTATGCGAGGAGACAAGAAATAATCATTAACTCCGGTGGCTCGGGCAGGGCAGGGAGGGCGGATCCGGGAAGGCTGCGGGGAGGAAGTGGTTTTCGATCCAACCGGGTCTTGCTCAGGGAAACCGAATTCCAGCCTTAGATGAGAGGCGGGGCCCCCTCGGTAGGGGGATGGCCGCGTGCTCCTGCGCCGCTTCCACGCACGCGGGACGTGGAGTCCGCTCCGTCAACGGACGCAGGCCCTCGGGCACAGACCAACAGGCCTCAGGGCCTCGGGACCGAACCGCAGCCGGTGCCACTCCGCGTGTGGGGAGCGCAAGGGCAGGGCCCTCGTGCCTTCACCAACACCTGGGCACCGCGCCCCGGGGCTCCGTGCAAGCTTCTGCGGACGCACGTTGGGGGCGCACGTTGGGGCAGGGAGAGAGACAAGAGGCGCGCGTAGTTCCCGAGTGCGAAGGGCTCCAAGAGAGCGGAGCGCGGGGCTGGGGACAGGACCGGCGACTTCAGGTGGGCAGGCCTCTGGCCAGCAGCGCCTGCCTGGGGCGCGGAGAGCAGCCCGGGGCCCGCGCGCGATCGCGGCCCAGGGCGCGGCAGCGGAGCTGCGCTTCCGGCCTCGGGGAAACGCTCGCCGCGTCCCTGCGAAGTGCGCCTGCGCCCATTTTGCAGACGCGAGGAGCGAGGACGCGCAGCGCCGCCCGTTCGGAGGCGCGAGCGCTCCGCGCGCCCTCCACCGCGTCTGCGCCGGAGAGCCCGAGGGGGCGGGGCTCCCTGGGGGCGGGGCTGGCGGCCGAGGGGGCGGGGCCGTGGCCTCGGCGGGGCCGTTGGTTTCGCGGCGGAACCTCCGCGCGGCGACGGCGGGCGTGCGGGGGAAGGCTTTGCGGCGGCGCCGAGGCCACGGCCCAGCGGAGCGCGGCGGTGAGGGCGGCGCGGCGTCCGCTCCGGCTCCGGCCCCCGCCCTGGCTGCGCGCGCAGCCCTCCGCCCGCAGGCCGCCCTCCGCCGGCCCCGCCCAGCGCGGGGAGCGCGAGGCCGCCCCGAGACCCGGAGGTGAGGTGGACCGCTGAGCGGGCGGCGGCGGCGGGAGCTGGCCCCGCAGGTGAGGGGGCCGGGCCCAGAGCCCTTCCGGTCCCGGGGACCCCTCCCCGCCTTCCCTGGGGTCCCCCCGAGACGCCCGTCGGGACCGCTGGTCCCCGAGACCCTGTCGCAGTCTCTGGCCCCGTCTCCCCCCTGCCGCTTGAGGGCTCCGGAGCCCCGAAGCCTTTCGGGATTTACCCTAGACGCCCGGACCCCCCGAGGGCCTCCGAGATTGCCCGGGACCCCCGAGCCCGCCCCGGCTCCCCCGTCCCGGTGCGCAGGCCCTCGGGGCCCTCTCTCCCCAGCGCCCCCTCCCCCAGAGCCCGAGGCCGCTGCACCCCCCCCAACCTCCCCGCCCGGGGCTCCCCCTGCCTCTCCACCTCCTGATCTGAGCGTCCAGACCCGGTCGGCTCGTCTCCAGGCTGGTTTCTCAAACCCGAAGTCCAGGACCCCCGAGGGGCATCAGCGACAGCCTTCCCTGGGGGTGGAAATTGCTGATGATAATATAAAAGTGGGGGCGTCTCATCGGTCACCGGCTGACCCTTTGTAACGGAGCAGGGGTGTGATCTCGGCCCCCACGTTTCATGTGTGTTCACCGTTGCACTGAGGCCGGAGCAGGGACAGGGTTGAACTTTTAATGCTCTTTGGTGAGACTCCAGCGGCCCTGCAGAGGAGTCTCAAGAACCCGTCTGAGCTGGTGGGGGGAGGACTGCGCAGGTGAGGGGGTCTGGGCAAACCCGGCGCTGAGGCTGCCGTCTTGGCTCGATTTTTTCATTCTTGGAGCTAATCTTTCTGAATGCCCAGTAGTTTCCAGGAATTGGCACTGGAGCTGGAGACGTCGAAGTCCTTGCTGTCAGGGCCCATGCCGGCGGGGTGGACTGGGGAGCGTGAAGCAGGTGGGTAATTGTCACCCAGGGATAATAGCGGAGTCATGGCCTTGAGCCCAGCTGGGGTGGGAGCCCAGCTCCCAGGAAGTGGTTTCTGGAGGGCTTTTGGAAGGGGAGGAAAGCGGACGGGTAACAGGTGCGCTGGTCTTGAAGGTTGAGGTTGAGAAGTTTGCCACAGTCATTTCAGGGAGGGGGGGTGGTGTGTGTGTGTTTGTGAGAGGGAGGGAGAGAGTGTGAGAAAGGGCAGAGAGGTGTTGCCACAAAGCATAGCAGATCTTGGAAACAAGCGTGGCCACAGCACAAAACCGTCCTGGGGGACAGCTGGAGGTGTATTGCTTCGTTAATGAAAGGGTCCTCAGGGTAGTATTAGAATCTTAAGTGGGGTGAATCCAGCTTCGTTCCCCGAGGCTCGTGCCCTTGGTCCTTTCTTGGATCACCGCTTCTGCTGTCTCCTGAGGAGACGGCGATGCAGCTCAGGGCAGAAGGAAGGTAGGAGTTGGTCCGTGGGGAGGATTGAGGGAGATTCTAGGGAGACCAGAATGGGGAAATGGGAAAGTCTGCCAGAGGGCAGGGTTTGGGACTCAGAGTGGCGAAGAAGGGGGTGGGCGAGGGGGGTCAGGATGCAGGGACGGAGTCGGCCCACGGAGGGGTTTAAGGAGGGGAGGGAAATGGGTTTTGTGTTCATGAAAAATCACTGGCTGTGGTGGTGGGGCGGGGGGGTGGGCTGTTGTCTGGAGGAAGCTGGGTGAGAGAGAGAGGGGTCCTGGACCGGGGTGGTGGCAGTGGAGACCGTGGCTTCCTCAAGCGTGGGTGTCCTCCTCAAGCCTGGACCCCGGAGATGGCCGTTCAGTCCTTTCCTGGCAGAGCCTACACTTTGCTGCCTGGAAATTGACTTTGGAACTTACTAGTCCCTGTAGGAGAAGTTTTGTCCTTTTGTCCAAAGGGTGGGTGGTCCCGAGGGCTTCATCAGGGTAACTGTATGTCTGTGTGTCACCGAGAGCCCAACACCCACGCAGGAGATGCACCCATGGCTCGGGGGCAGGGGTAGCACGAAGGGGCAGGTTTGTAGAGATGGAACAGCATAGAGGCGTGGAGGTTGGACTTAGGGGCTCTGAAGGGGAGGCAAGTTCAGATGGGTCCTGGGAGAAATGTCCCTCCTGAGATCTTGTGGTGGTTCTCAGTGTCCACACAAGTTTGTGAGGACACAGGCAGTGGCCGAGCGCATGGGATTTTGGGTGGTAGTGAAAATGTTCTGAGTCTGTGTTCCCTGAGGCACTAGTCTCGTGCAGCTCTCAGGTGCTTAAAATAAAGCTGGTGGGACTGAAGAACTGAATTTGTTAGATTTATTTAATTTTAACTAATTAAATCCAGGAAGGACAGCCAGTCACATGCAGGGTGTAGTGGGAAGCATCCTGTTCTAGGCTGTGTTCTTTCAAATGTTACGCTTTTACTGTTTCCAGCAACCCTATGAAACGAGAGATAAGATTTCTTTTTTACAGACAAAGGAAATAGAGTCCCAGAGTGAGTAATCTACGCCCGTGTGAGTAGTACAACCAGCACGGGCGTTGTTTAACTGCTGCCTACGGCTGGGCCTTTTCCTAGAGAACCTGCTAGAGCCTGGAGCCTCTCCTTGTGCGGGAGAGTGAAGTCCTTTTGGGAGGCAGCGTTGTTCCCGCCCAGCCCACCCAGCCCTCCGGGTCTGGGCTCTCCCCGCTGAAATCATGGTGGATGGTGGGGTGGAGAGCCAGCCTAGACCCGAAACCTGGGAGCTGGTGGTTTTGCCTGCTGCTGCTTAGACCTTCCTCGTGGTGGCTGTTGCTTTTAGCATTTCTGGAAAAGGAGCCCCATAAGAAAGCACGTGAAACTAGGTCAACCAAAACACCATGGCTTGTTATTTGTGAAGATTTAATGGTAAAAAGAGATGCCTTAGTTGCAGTGAGTGCTTTAGATGAAGTTTTGGACTCACAGGGGAACAGGGAGTGCCCAGGATGGTGCAAGGTTAGGGGCCATGAGCGAGGAGCGAGTTTCTAGCTTGTCCCTAACTCCTTGGGGGGCTGGGACTAAGTCACTGCCTCACGGAGTCGCCATTTTCATTTTTCTAAAATTAGGGCCTCTGGCATCCCCTAACCATTTGGATCCCTTCAGCTCTAGAATTCTGTAATGTTACATCTCTTTAGAGGTTTACTTTCTAGAACATCTTTTTCTTGGGATGGCTAAACGCAGGTGGTTCAGCCTGCCTTTAGGCCTTCGTGGGGGTGTGCCTTACCCTTACTGCCTTATCATTGAGGAATGTGTCTGAGTTAATTGAACATCCGATGGATAGACGGGAAAGAGGACGACACTCGCGGTTGGCAGGACTCCTGGTGAAATGTCAGGTGTGTGTGTTTGCCGTTCTGAGCCACACTCACGTCAGGAAAAGGTACGCAGGACCGTATTTACCGTGACCGGCCTCTGAGAGAGTTTGCTGTCATCCTCGCCAGATGAGGGGCAGTCGTGATGACCACTTGGTCAAGATCACAGCGTTGTTGAAGGGTTAAGTGAGATGAAGCATGTAGAGTGCCGAGTACTGTCCCCTGAATCTAGTAAGGGTACGGATAATGTCAGTAATGAACGCGGCAGTTGGAACCAGACCGTGACTTTGACATTTCCTATGAGCTGCGGGTTTTGTTGTCTTCTTCCTTTGGGATACGTGCCCAGGTCAGTCCGGAGGCACTGGTTGCAAGAAACAAATGAATACATTATAACTGTTAAAATTAAGCTTTTTTTTTTTTTTGCTGTTGTAACTTCTTTTGACTGCCTTTAGAAAGTGATTGGTGCAATGTCACGTGTTCAAATTAAGGTTTTCTGTTTTCTGTAAACTGAAGAAAAATCGTTCATCCTAAAGATGCCTAGTTAGCCCCGGCTGGGAGGAGCTCTAAGCAGAACCGGGGCTGAGCAAGTGCGAGGTCGAGCAGGAAGCCCCCTGATGGTCAGGGCTGGCCGCCGCTGCCCTGGTAGTTCATAGTGGGAAACGTTTTACAGCTGTTTAGGAACCTTCAGGATAGTGGTTGCACGCGAAGTTTGCACAACACTCACTGGCGTGGGTGGTGGAATTCCCAGCTGACCTGTTTGGAAGCAGGTTCAGAGAGGTGTCCCCGCTGGGGAAGGGGTGGCGTTGTCTTGACTCCAGATCTCGTGTTTTCCTTGGTGTTGCCATGACCACCCCCCCACCCCCACCCCCGCTGCCTCTGTTGCAGTGGTCTCAGGGCTAAGCCTCTCCTGCAGTTCTGGAAGCTTCATTGTTGCCCATTTATACCTTGTTTCCAGATCAGGTGAACCTAGTCATGCTAACCAAACGCACCAGAAACACAGTTACCACTTCCAGATGGTTCCCTGGTGGTCGGAAGTGTGGCTGTCCATTGTCCTTGAAAACCTACTCCCATGACCCAGTGATTTCTGCTTCTGTGCCCGAGTCTACCTGGGCAGCCAGGTTGCTATGAAAAAGGCAGTTTGCGGGAATCCCATCAGACTAAGAGGGGAGGGTGGTGTTAACTGCTGGGTTTGGTGTCGGGAGCTCGGGGAGCCGCACCGGGAAAGGCTTGCTTCGTGCTTCCCAGGCTTCCAGGCCCGCTTGGGGGAGCGAGAGTACAGCAGCTGGGGCCTGGCCTCCTTGTAGGACATTCTAGTCCTCCGGAACTGCACTGGGGTGGTGGATTACACTTAACTCCAGCTGCCCTTGAACGACACGGGTTTGGACTATGTGGGTCCACTTACAGATCGTTTTCAGTAAATCTCCTGGACGTTTGAGATTTGCAACAATTTGAAAAAAACGGGACGAGCTGCACAGCCTTGAACTAAAACATTGAGAAGAAGTTAGGTGTGTCATGAATGCACAAGGTATTTGTAGATACTAGTCTATTTTAGCATTTACTACTGTAAAGTCTACACAAATCTATCATAAAAAAGTTAAACATCAAAATTTAGACTGCACATGACCTCTCAGTGGAGAGAAAATGTAAACGGATATAGAGAGGCGGTATTGAACTGAACTGTGCAGTAATCCTGTCCGATGGCCTGATTTTGTGGCTCCTTCCCGCTGCGCGTGCGGCGAGTCAAGGACCGCCCTGTCTCCCTAAACCCGTGTGCACACGTCTGCCCGTGAACGGGTCATCTCTCTGTAAATTTTGTGTCTCAATATAAAGTGATCCCTTGTGCCTTTTCCTATTAGTGGTTCAGTTTTGGGGGGAGTCCAAAGTTGGATGCAGATTTTCAACCCTGCGGGCTGCCCTTCACCTGTCCCCCGTCCCCGCTGGTGAAGGGTCCACTCTGTTTCCAAGTCCCCTGTCTTCTGTGAGCAGCACACGGATGCGTCATTTCTCAGCGTGGGGCACGCGGTGCGCTTGCTAGTATGTTCTACAAAGGCGGGCCCCGCTGCCGGTCATTGAGAGTCACAGGGACCCGTGTCGGACTTTTTCCACGTGTTCTGGGAGCGTCTCATTCCATCTCTCTAGGGATCGAGTACAGGTGACGTCAAAGCTAACATCTGGAAACTTCAGCGGATGTTTGCAGCATCCCCTCCCCTGCCGTGTGCGAGGAACGTATTGTGTGTGTACGTCTGAGTTCAGCCCTCTTCCCCGTCCTCGGGTGCCACGGAGAGCCTCCTCTCCCTGCTCTCAGGCTGCCCAGAGTGCATGAACCCGTGTAAACGAAGAGGTTTTTCTCAAGACACTTCTGAGGACCCCACAGGTTCTCATTTGTGCCTTGTGCTTGTGAAGTGAAAGTATAATTTGTAATAGAAAGTGGTTACTTTCAGTTTTACTTTCTTCCTATGCTAAGGTTATTGTTGACCGGCATTTTCTCCCGCCCCAAGTGTGACCCGAGCCCTCCCTGAGCAGTTCTTTCCTTTTGTTCTTCTCTGGCGCTTTTCTCGTCTTCCTTTTCCGTCCTGTGCTCTTGCTGGCAGCACAGACCAGCGGGGGCGGTGCAGGCGTCCCAGACAGGTCGTTCCGCGGGTCTTCGGCTGGCCTCCCTGGGGTCTCCTGCGGTTGTGGTGACCTGGCTGCTGGACTGGCGCCGACGCGCCTCAGGCGGCCTCTGACGTGGTGGGGGGGGGCCAGGTGTCGGGCTGCCCGACGGTGAGCCTCATCTCCCCGCACCCCTCCCCGGAGGCCGCTCACCCTCCTGGGAGGCGAGACCGTGCTCTTCGGGGCCCGAGTGCCAAGACAGCTGGCCCCAGAGGCAAAGCACTCAGCAAACGCTTGCTTGGCCGGAGAAGTGACACGATGAGGTCCAGAGTTAGGAGTGTTGGGACTGCGCGGGCGTGGTTAGCAGGAGGCAGGACGGCAGGGCAAGGTCACGAGTGGTCTGGCGTGGCGGGGTCAGGGAGTTGTTTTGCTGGCTGTAAATCGCGGGGCCGTGTTCATGGTCGATTCTCTTTTGTGTTGGAGTCAGGGCGATGAACGTTTACTTCGCACTGGATGCTGGGGGTTCGCGGAAGAAGGCAGTTTGGCTGCTCTCAGGCCAGCGCACGAAACACTCGGGGTCTCCGGTTTGAAGGAAACCTCCGTGAACACTTTCATTCATGGCTTTAGATGAAAACGACAGAACTGCTTCTGCACAGCTGTGCTGGGGCCTGAGTTTGCTTTCAGAAAGTGCTGTTAGGTCTTTGAAAAAAAACGGGTTGCTATGATGACTTGGCTCTGGGCCTGCAGACTGTGGTGACGGCAGGGTCACCGAGGAAACCGGAAGATGCAGCTTCTGAAGGTCTCTGGAGGCTTTTGTTGCTGCTGTGGCGAGTCTGATTGGCTTAGCAGAGCGGCGGCGAGTGTGGGAGCCGCCTGGCAGGGGCTCGCCGTCCTGCCGGAACGTCTGGGATCTGGCTCTGGTCGCTTTGGAAATCTCCTGTTTGGCTCCTGGTTTCAGAAGAAGGGGTTCGTGGGGGAACTTTCTTGGTTCCGGTGAGCTTCGGCTAGAGGCCAACTCTGCGGACAGAGCAGGAAGTGAGGCCGTGTCTTCAGCGCGCGTGTCAGCTCGAGCCCTGCATGTCTGCACACTCTTCCCCTGCGGGCGCTGGGCTTCCCTCTCGCTGGGGCCTTCCCCGTTGGCGACCTTGCTTCCTAAAGGTGACAGTGGTGTGCACGTCTAGGGGCCTCTCTGCCTGTTGGCGGTTGGAAATGGGGCCTCCGTTGGAAGCGCCGTCCAGGAGCCAGCTCGTGACCTTCCTCAGGCTCGGGTGCAGGGAGAGGTCTGAGCCTTTACACCAGCAACAGGCCGCGTGCGGGGGCTCGCCGGGATCTGCTCGTGCGTGTGCAGTACCCCCGGGCGAGGTTCACTCAGCAAACTGGAGGTCACGTCGTTTTGGAGTTACGTGTAGCCCGCGGGGGTCTGAGTTGTTCATACCTTTGGCCGATGTGTGTAAATGCAGTGTTTGGGTTCCTGGTTGGCACGAGGGTCCCGCGTGGGCCCCCGCAAGCCCAGAGCTGCACAAGAATCAAAAGAACCACAGGTAGACTTTTTGAAAAGTCTTTACCGTGGAACCGGTGCGGGGCGTTTCTGAAGTCTTCCGTGGGCCAGTGACCATTTAGAAAATCCCCCACGGTGTTGGGTAGAGGGGCCCGAGAGAAAAGGGCCCTTCGCAGGAGTAACCGGGGCTGTGCGTGATTGGGGGGCAGGGCCGGGGGGCAGTTGGATTCGTCTGCTGATGAGCGTCTCACTCTAACTCGACCGCCAGGATCGCGTGCGCACGGGTCTCACCTTCTGCCCGGACAGGGAGGTTCAGAACTCGGCCTCGCCGGCAGCTCAGCGCGCCAGCTGTTTGCCTCCGCACGGCGAGCCCCCCCCAGCGCCGGACCGGTGGGAGCCGCCGGGTTTCTAGAACCCAGCTGCCGGCGTGTTCTCTAGTTTAGAACCGGGGCTGGGCGGATGGTTAGAGCCGCCACTGCGATCTCAGGGCCGGCAGCCAGGGCTCCTTAACGCCGTGGGAAGCCCCGTGTTTGTTACTGTCCTTCTATGTAGGAGGTTACACGAGAGGTTTTACCCTGCTGTTTCTGAGAGCAAATTTGTAGCAGGAAGGAGGATGGGGTGAAGGCGGAGAAGTGGCCCTAACTTCACTGGCCTTTCCCTTTGGGCAGATGATAGGCATCTGGGAGCAGTGTTCTTCTTGCCTCTGGACTGAGATCACTTAACATTTGGGGAAAGGTCAGGGACACCATTGGGAGTTTGAAGGAAGCTCTGAACCCTTCCCCGGGGCAGGGGTGGGACGGGGCAGGGACGGGGCGGGAGGAGGCATCTCAGTGCCTGTGCCGTCGTGTGCACATTGTCGGGGTACTCTTAGGACTCCATGTAGCTCTAAAATCTAATGATGCTATAGGTGATTAAGCGTTGTTTACTTACTGGGAAATTATTTCTGGTGACCTGATTCTGAGATTAAAAAAAACCAACAAGACTGCACGTGCAGGAAGGTGGTTTTCCGTCAGGGCACCCACATGTCGCTGAGCACTCTTCTGGAGAGTTTGCCGCTATGTGCTGAAGCATTTTACTCTATCCCTTAACTCAGCAATTCTACTTCTCCGAACTCTCTCCTAAAATAATAGTTCCAAAATGGAGAAAAATTTTTGTGCCCAAAGATGGTTGTCAGGAGATGCTTTTTATATATATATTTTATATATATATATTTTTTGAGAGAAATTTTATTTATTCATTTGGCAGAGAGAGAGAGAGTGAGTGTGCATGTGCGCACACGAGAGATTGCACAAGCAGGGGGAGCAGCATGTAGGAGAGGGAGAAGCAGACTCCCCGCTGAGCAAGGAGCCCGATGTGGGGCTCGATCCCAGGACCCCGGAATCACGACCCGAGCTGAAGGCAGACGCTCAATCAACTGAGCCACCCAGGCTCCCCAGGAAATGCTTTTAGTATAACACATGGAAAAAAGTGGGCTCTGACCTTTGGATGCAAATGATGGGGAAAATGTAAACCATCTAGAGGCCATATACAAATGTTTGTAACAGTCCTTGCTTATAGGCAGTAGGGTTCTGGGCTTTTCCAACTTGATTTTTTCTGTGTATTTCCTTGTTTACAGTAAATATTCTGGAATTGGGCGAAAGTGATTCTGCAAAATTTGTAGACTGTGGAGATAGCTGGGCAATAGAGACCTAGCTGGTTTACAGTTCGTGTTTTACATAAACTCGCTGGTTTATAGTTCTTGTTTTACATAAGCTAAGAATCAACTTTTACTTAGACTGTTTCTTCTGACTGGATTTCAGCGTGGCCGAGGGGGCTGGCGCCCCGGAAGGCTTGCTGAGTGGGGCTGGGCACCGCCCATGCCGGACACTGCACCCCGTGGGGCACGCGGATGCCCCTGAGAAGCCGCTTCCTGGCTCTGCTCCATCTGGCCACCTGCCCCTCTTCCTTATGTGAAAAGTCGTTTGTGTTTGTGTCCACTGGATCCCCTTTAAAGGGGGTGGCGAGGGGACAGCCACCACTGAGCCCCCTGTACCGTCTGGGCGGGGCATGCCTTCCCTTCCGTTCGTCTCCCCTCTGGGGCAGAGCTCCTGACCGCCTGCATCTGAGGCTTTGGCTGGCCTGGTTGGTGGGAACCGTGGCTTAGGAAGCATTCTGGAAGCGTGTGTTTGGGCGCTGACATTTTTGTAGGTTTTGTAATTTAAATAAAGATCCAGGACCTTTGATTTTAATGCCAGCTTGAACTCTCTTGGTGGAACTAACAAAAAAACTTGTCTGGGAAATGGGAGTCACTTCTAATTTTTGTCTTTAGGATTTACAGATGGATCCAGCGGAAAAGACAACAAACAGAAGTGAACAAAAATCCAGGTAAATAAAGTCAGCTACACCTTCACACGGGTAGATGGCCCCTGTCGTCCGTCTGCTCAGGTGCTACGTTTAGCGCCTGCAGGGAGCGCGGGATGAGAACTTGTGTCAGGAGGGAAGCTCGCGCCTTCTGCCGCCACTCTTCGCTTCCATGTGAGACGTGTTCCAGAAGGCAGTCTTCTCTTTGCCCCGGGAAGTGACGGTCACCGGGTCTCCAAGTGACACGTGGTCCCGGGGTCCCGTCTGAGACGAGGCATGCCAGCGCCGCTGGAGAGCACTGTGACCCTCCGGGACCATGGGTGGTTCCTGAAAAGTGATGCTGGATAAGGAGGTGTTAGCTCGAGCGGGGCTCGGGGCCCAAGAGGCAGAAAACCAGCTTCGGCCAGGATTTCCTTACCTGCCCCTGCCAGCAGGGGTCATTTTGTCATCATGCTGGTATTACAGGCGCTCAGCAGCTTCAGAGGAATTAAAAGCGTGAGCTTTTTGTTCCCGTGTATGTTGCTTCAGCGGATGCTTAACACCCCGGGGGCCTCGATGAGCAGGACGCGCCTGGCCCAGGTCACTGCGGGGCGAGGGCAGAGCACGAACAGGAGATACGCAGAAGGGAACAGCGCAGGCTTCATCCTCCGGGGGCGTGCAGGAGCGGAGGGCGTGCGTGGCCGTGTGCGCCCGCACGCCTCGCCCGTGCTCCTGGACGCCGTCTTTCCTTGCGCTGGCGATACCCGCCACGGCGACTTCTGTTGTCCCCTTCCCTTGTTTCAAGCAGAAAGTTCCTGAAAAGCCTCATCCGGAAGCAGCCGCAGGAGCTGCTGCTGGTCATCGGGACAGGCGTCAGCGCCGCCGTGGCCCCCGGGATCCCCGCCCTGTGCTCCTGGAGGAGCTGCATCGAGGCGGTCATCGAGGCGGCGGAGCAGCTGGAGGTGCTGCACCCCGGGGACGTGGCGGAGTTCCGCCGCAAGGTGACAAAGGACCGGGACCTGCTGGTGGTGGCGCACGACCTGATCCGGAAGATGTCGCCTGTAAGTCCTTCCACACAGGCGCTTCCGGCTTCCCTGGGGGACGCGCTTCTGGACCCGGTCGGTGGACCCGTGACCACCATGGACACGTCCGTGAGCCGTGGTCGGGCCCCGCACTCCGCAGAGGGTGGCTGGTGAGCGGGGGTCTCGCGTCCGGGAGACTAGTGCTGGTACAGGGGCTCCTCGAGTAGCCCCTGCCAGCCGGAGCCTGGGTCCGGGCGGGGCGTCCACGACGGTGTCTGCCATGTCGCCGCGCCGCGGGGTCTCCTGCTGCGGGCGGAGGGTGTTCTCGAGGTGCGTTTTGGGTGGCAGCAGCCAGCCACGGATCTTCAGATGACAGCGGCTCCACAGGCTTTTGAGGAGGGGAGAGGTTAGAGCGGCTTTGTCTGCAGGTAGAGGAGAGGTAGTAGAGAGGACGGGGGGGAGAGCAGGGGCGCTGGTGCAGCTGTGGGGGTCCGCCTCGGGCAACTACTCGGCCAGGTCAGCCGCCGGGAAGCCACGGGACGTGGTAGAGTCTCGTGGCGGGTTTCCGCCGGCTCCTTCCAGACTCGTTAAAGCACGGCCATCCTCTGAGAGTCCCGGTGGGGGTTGGTGTTGGAGACGCTGCACGGAGAGCAGGCAGAGGAGTCTGCGGAGCCGCTGGGGAGCCTGGGAGAGTTTAGCTGCTGTGAAGACACCCAGCTGTTGGCTTCCATGTAAACATCTGGGCCAGCAGCCGCGGGAGAGCAGGTGTCTTGCCAGTGTTGGGGCCCTGGGCCCCGTCTTGCTGCTCTGCCATCTTCCTGGTGTGGCCTCCGCCTCGTGCTGTGAGGTCGCAGGAGCTGGGACGGTGTGCCTGTCCGGCCAGGGGGACGCGGGGGCAGCTCCTGCCTCCTGCCCTCCAGGGCCTGATGCGGGAGGCATATCGGCCATGTGGCTGCTTTACACGTGGCTGTACCCGGCTTTCTGGAGCCTAGGAGGGGTTTTCAGCCAGACGGCTCTCCCCCCATGGGGCTGTTCTGTTATACGGGGCTCCTGCGACCTAGGGCAGGGCTGGCCCGCCGCCCATCTGGTAAATACGGCTCTGGGGACACAGGTGCGCGCAGCATCTGGTGCCGCTTTCCAGCCGTGGCGCAGGGCCGAGCAGCTGTGACCGTGCCACACAGCCTCCAGCAGTGGCTCTCTGGTCCTTCAGAGACGGGGTGCTGAGGCCTGTCCCTGGAGCGGGGAGACGGGCGTGGACAGAGAAGTGTGGGGGTGCTGGGTGGCGCGGGGGGCACGTTCAGGTGAGGTTCGCTTGGAACCTCAGGCGAGGCCAACACTTCTGGCCTGGTTAGCGCTCCCGCTCCTGTGGAGTGTAACTACGCTTTGTGTATTTTGTGAAACTTCCTAGCACGAGTTACATGAGGCTTGTCTGGACGGCGGGGTTCCCCGCACCCCGCTGAGCAGGCTGAGAACTGGGCGGGCTGGGGGAGCTGTATCCATGCTCCCGAGGAATCCAGCAAAGCACGCGAGGGGTGGTGAGCTGGGAAGCTTGCGGGGTTGGGGCAGCGGTTGCAGTGACGGATTATGGGGCGTCAGCTGCTGAATGGGACAAGTTAGGCCTGTGGGGTGGAGACCCGGGTCCATGGCCACCGAGCCAGTGGTGTGCCAGTCTTCATGGGGGTGGAACGGCCCTGGGAGCCAAGGTGCTGCAGGGTCAGAGGGCGGCAGCCTGGGCCAGGAGTTCTGGAAGGGTCCCGCTCTTGGTAGTGATAGGTTTGGGATGTGACCAGATAGGTTTGGGATGACTGAGATGGGACAAGGTCTGTGGAGGAGAAGCCATGATACGGGACGGTCATTTCAGTGACCGAGAAGGCAGCAGGGACTGTGACAAGTACAGCTGTGCCTGTGCGGCGCTCTCTGGGGAATCTGTAGTCTCTCCTGTGGTCTTCAGAGCCTCCCACGATCTGCCCCCAGGTCACCTCACGTGCTGGCCTTCCCCCTGCTCCTGTCCTGTGACGGGGGCCCCTTGCTCACCCTCGGACCCAGCCTTGCTGCCGCTACCTCAGTGCCTTTGCACTTACTCTTTCCTCTGTGTGGGACGCGCTCTCAGAGGCCCTTGATTTCCTTAGTTCTCTGTCCCAGCGCCCCTCATTGGAGGCCTTCCCTGGTGCCCTTTGGCCCACCAGCCCCTGCCCCCAGCAGCACATGGCTTTACTTCCCCGTGGCACGGGCCACTATGGACATATCACTTGCTGTTTGTCCGTGGTCTGTGTCCCTCCTCTAGGGTTTCAGGAAACTCGGCGAGCCCGGGTTTCCTTTCTTTTGAGCCAGCGCCCGGCGTACTGCTGCTCAGGGCGCGGCGCTTGAGAGAGGGCGCCTTGTAACTCGTGTTCCACCTCTTCGTAGCGTACAGGTGACACCAAGCCCAACTTCTTCCAGGACTGCCTGATGGAGATTTTCGACAACCTGGAGCAGCACATCCAGAACCCGCTGGTGCTGCAGTCCATCCTCAGCCTGATGGAGCGGGGCACCAAGGTGCTGACCACCAACTATGACAACCTGCTGGAGATCTTCGGGCAGCAGCAGAGCAAGCCCATGGAGTCTCTGGACCTGAAGGACAAGACCAAGGTACGGGCTGAGGGCGGGAGTCGGAGGTGGGGGGGATCTGCGCTGCGGGGGGCGCGGCCCGAGCTTCCATTTTCCAGTGCGTTAGTGACTGTGAGGCTGACGGGTGATGCCTTTCTGTCTCTGGACTTTGCTCACTACCTGCCCTTGTCTTTTTCGTGCCTTCTGTCTGGCAGGCTTCCCACGTGCGTGGACTTCTTACAGGCCGGGGCAGGGGCGCGGGGAGCAGGGGCAGGAAGGGCCACGATCGCCCCCGGTCCTCGTGCTGCGGAGCGCGGGTGCTCCTGCCCTTGCTCACGCATCGGGATTATGCCACATGTAGCGTTTTCATCTTGGCCTTCTTCCTTATTGTTCGCCTTTGAGCCTTTTGCCGTCACGAAGCTGTGTTTGAAAGCACGCTTGTAAGCGGCAGTGTCACTGTTAAAGGACAGTTGTTGTCCTTCTCTTATCATCAGCCAATTCCCATGGTTATGAGGAAGGCTTTGGTGAAAATCCTTATGCTTCTGTGTCTTTGTTTACTTCTTTAGGGTAAATTCCTAGAAGAGTTGTGGGGTCAGAGGGCGTGAGTATTTTAGGCAGATGATACGAGTTAGCAAATTGCTTTCCAGAAAGTAGCCAGTTTATACTCCCAGCCACACAGGAGAGTATCCGCTTCCCGCATCTTGGGAGCACATGGTGTCACCAGAAAACAAAACACATTTTCCCCACTGAGGTGAACATTTTACATTTTTGTTTCTCTCCTTGCTTAGGGTGATCACAGTTTCATGTTATTGCTTGTGTTTCTTTGGCGACATGTTTGTGTCTGCTGCGTATTTGTTCAAGATTTTATGTCCTTGCTGATATTGGGCTCCCCGCTCCTCGTCTGGCTCCACCCTCTGGGTGGTCTTGCAGGCCCTCTGTGCAGAACCCAAGACCTAGAGATGGCTCCCCTGTGAGGCCCTGAGTAAGCATGTGACCGCGGCCTGCTCAGACCCCGGGCTTCTCTTCTGCAGCTCCTTCCCTAGATCTTGGCAAAAGCCTGGCAGGTGGTGATGTGCCTGTGGGACAGCCCACGAGGACGGGTGACACCCTCTCCTGAGCTGTTAGTGACATGTGAAGGGACACCTACTCTCCGTGCCCGAGTCACCTGTCCCCACTGTGAGGCCTGCTTGCTGTTGGGAAGAGCGTCTCTGGAAATATGCGGCCGAGGGCTTGGGGCCGAGCTGCCGGCGGGCTCCTCTGTCTGGGTCCAACCTGTCAAGCTGTAGGGGTTTGTCCAGTTGTCCGGCGCCCTCTGCCCTCGGGACCACCTGCCGCTGTGAAGGGGCTGCGGGCACGAGGATAACAAGCAGTTTGCGGGATGTGCCTCTTTTTAAGGACTTTTGTTCTAGGTCTTGAGATGAAATCAGTGTAGAGCTGTTTGATGTTTTTTCGTATCTATTTTTTCTGGGCGTAAACACGGCATATACACACAGGAATTAAAACACAACGTGTCACTTAGAAGGGAGTGTCCTCTCAATCCCTGAGTGTCACCCGTCTCCAAGTGTGTTGTGGTCTCAGGCTGGAGGCGGTTTTTGCACGGCTGTCTGTCTGTCCGGCCATCCTCTTGGACGGGTTGGGAGCACCAGCAGCCCGGTCACCCTTGGGCTTTGCGGGTGGCAGTGTAAAGTGAGATGGGTCCCTCGTTCTCTCCGGGGTAGGTTGGAGGAGCACGCGTCCAGGTGAGAGGTTTTCCTCGTCTGCCTGCGTCAAGTAACGCCCGCGTTCCCCCTTTGTCTCGGCTTGCTCCTGGCAGGTCCTGCAGTGGGCCCGGGGGCACATCAAGTATGGCGTGCTCCACATCCACGGCCTGTACACGGACCCCTGCGGCATGGTCCTGGATCCGTCGGGCTACAAGGACGTCACGCAAGACCCAGAAGTAATGGTATGGCCCGCCATCATTAGGCGTTGGCTGCGTCCCTTGGGCTGTGGTGGCCACTAGTTCCTTGGTGGCCGTCCGGGTAGTCTCTTGGCCTCTAGGCCTGCCTGCCCCATGGTGCCCACGCCTGGCCCCGTTCTCAGCTGTCTCTCCAGGTGCCTCAGACTGACACCGGCACTCACGCGGTGGGCCCCGATGTTGTGGGCGGCCTGCGGGGCCCTGTGCCCTCTGTGCGCTCTCGCTCGGGCCACTCCTGCCATGTCCTCTGTGTGTGTGTGCGCGTGTGCTTGTGTGCGCACGCGGTCGCGTGTGTGCGCGTGTGCTTGTGCATGTGCGTGCACACACACTTTCAGGCACCTCCTCTCCTGTCTCTGCTTGGCAAATGAGCTTTCAAAACCTCATTTTACAGCTTCATTCTCTGTGAAGCTTTTTTATATCTTGGAAAAATGAAGAGTGGAAAAGCTGCTTTTCAGCTTTTGTAAAGTTTCTTATTAGCGCACTTAGAAACCACAGTAACCTGGTTATCTAGGGGTCAGGCGCTCTGGTCCTCCTGCTGATGCTGGCCGATGGCCCATGGCACAGGCGTGGCCTGACAGGTGACTGGTCACCGTTGGGGGCTGTGAGAGGCCGGGGCGGACACAGGCCTCTCGCTAAGGTGTCGGGTGTCTGAAGCGGTGACTCCCCGTTGCCTGCCTGAGCGACCCCCTGAACCTTTGCCACTCTCTCTGCCCTGCTCCCTGGGGTCACTGTCACAGATCCCCTCCCTCCTCAGCTCTTCTGCCCTCACTCCTGAAAACCCCCTTCTCCTGACAGCAGCCCCCTGGTTCCTCCCCTCTGTGATCCGTGGAGACCATCAGTTCCCGAGCGTGTGCGCAGTTCTGAACAGAAACAAATGGAAAGTCCTTCTTTTGTGTTTTAAGAATTTAGAATTGTGCCCGGTCCCCGAGAGCCGGGTTGAGGGCTGCAGCACCAGATGGCTGGCGGCTGCGCCGGGCGTTAGGCTGTCTGCACTCTGAGGCACAACTAGAGCGGCCATGCCTGGGATCTGCGCCCTTGACCCCGCCTGGGGGAGGAGGGGCTCCCACGAGCGCCGAGCAGGGACTGCGCTCAGCGTGGGCCCGCGGGCTCGCCTGTGGCGCCGGGCGGACGTGACCAGCGTGCCTGGAGCGCATGCCCCTCTCACCGCGTCCCCGGCGAAGCTGGTGGGGAGGGCCTGTGGCTGGGCCCCTTCTGAAGCGTGGGCGCGCCGCCGGCGGTCGGGCCGAGGGTCCCGCAGTCTCCTGGGCGAGCGCTGCAGTCTTCCGCTGGTCTTCTAGGAGGTCCTCCAGAACTTGTACCGCACCAAGTCCTTCCTGTTCGTGGGCTGCGGAGAGACGCTCCGGGACCAGATCTTCCAGGCCCTGTTCCTGTACTCGGTGCCCAACAAGGTGGAGCTGGAGCACTACATGGTCGTGCTCAAGGAGGATGAAGACCACTTCTTCAAGCACCAGGCAGACATGCTCTTGCATGGGATTAAAGTCGTGTCCTACGGGGACTGTTTTGACAACTTTCCTGGCTACGTGCAGGACCTCGCCACGCAGATCTGTAGGCAGCGCAGCCCAGGTAGGGGTTTTCCTTCTCGACTTCTCCAGGTGCAAGGCCGAGAGAGTTCTTTACGGTTCTTCCTTTTGTTTTGAGATACAATTTACACGCTATAAAATGCAGCGGAGATGTGATTCTTGTACCACTAAGTTCCCGGGCCCTCCGGTGACCCTTAAAAAGGCGAGTGTGTCAAATAGAAGGTCGGGTAGTCGGTGCGATGGTGACATCTGTGCGCGGGATGTGAGCGCGTCGAGCTGTGCCGACAGCAGTCCGCGGCTCTTCCGCTGTCGGAGGACTCGCCACGCACCCGGTCACCTCAGCCAGGAGACGGCGCCCGCCAGCAGCTGCGGGGGGGACGCGGAAGCCGGGAAGGTGCAGAGCCCTCACGCTCCCTTATCCCCTTGCTGCGTTTCCCAGGTTCAGGCTGCAGGGCCACAAAATGCTCTCACCATAATGGCTTGACCCTGTGCCCCTGCGAGCCATACACCTTTTCAAGTGATTCTCCCGGGCCAGCTCTTGGGGAACTGCCAGGAATGACCAAGATGACAGAGCAGGTTTTAAATTGGTCGTCTCAACTTAGGGCAGTTAACGGCTTTGAGTTTGGGTCGTTAAACATGGATGATGCGGACTTGGAAAGGTCTGGACTGGCTGGATTTAATTACAGCAAGAAGCCAGCCCCGCTGCCCCAGGCAGGGGAATTGGGTCAGCCACTGAGCCGCTGCCTGTGCCCGCTGTGACCTCAAAGACTAGAGGGTGCCAAGTCATGGGTAACTGGATGCACACAGGGTCCAGCAGCATCGTCTGTCCCCGCTAGTGCCAGTCAGAATCGCGAGGGTTAGCTAGTGGGCCGGCTTCGGGTGCACGTCCATGGGGGAAATCAGAGTCAGGCCACTAGTCCGTCTCTGAGGCAGAGAAGGAGCCAGGCGGACGCTTGCTGGGCCACACTCTGCTCTGTGTTTCACCTCAACTTCATTTCCAGTCCCAGTGTCCATGGCTGCTAAGTAGGTGATCTGACAGATGGCAAGAGCAGCTCAGAGCGGGGAGTCACTTGCCCAGCTCGTGCCCAGACATTTTGGAGCTGGGACTGGAATCCAGTGTGTCCCAAACAGGCCCATGGGCCCAGCTCTGGAGAGGGGTGGAGGTGCTCCCCGTCCTGCCCCTACCCACAGCCTCTCCTGCCTCCGCGTGCATTGCTCCCCCGGGGGACCGGGACCTCATGGACACCTGTGTGAGCGCGGGCTTCTGGGTGCCTTTCTGCCCCGCAGAGGCCACGTTCCTGGACCCTGGCAGCTGAGTGGGTCTGACGTGGTGTCAGGGCCGAGAGATCTTTGGATTTATAATCCGTGACCGGATCCTTAAGGACGTTGTACTTAATGTTCACGAATGATCTCTCTTGACCAGAGAGAGTGGAATCCCAGCACTGGCAGTTCTGACAGTGGCAGCGGGTACCATGCCCTTTCTCTGTGTGTGCCAGGAGCCACATGCCGACCCCTTGGTCCTCACGCCGACACTGGGTGGAGGAGAGGAGAGGCGCTCGATGGCCTATCCGCCCCTCCCCCTGGGACACTTGAGCTGGCATTCAGGGTCCTGGTCACCATTGCTGTGCCTCTCTGAGCAGGCCTGGCTGCCGTCCCTGCCACCGGCCTGAGGAGGAGGAGGCCGCTAAGTCTTGGTTCTGCTGACTGTTTTCCTTTCTCTCCAGATGCTGACCGAGTGGACAGCACCACACTGTTGGGTAAAGCAGATCTTGATTTTTACCAGCCGGGTTTTTGCTTCCATGTTCCATTACCTTCCTGCCACCTTAGAACCGTGAAAGTGTTTCTCGCAGTAAATCCCTAGGCTGTAGTGACCCACGTCCAGTGGAGATGGGGGCCAGTGGGGCCTTAACGATGGTCCCTGCGACAGTGTGGGGATTACAGATGTGTTCCCCCAGCGGGGAGGCGCAGTGTAAACCCGGCTTCTGTGCTGGCACCTGAAAGTCCTTTCCCGTCCCACAAGTAAGAGCCGCAGGGCAGTCGGAACCAGGTTCGAATCGTGTTTTAGCCCCGGGTCTGCATTGGAGCAGCCCCTCTCGGCCCCCTCGGAAGCCTTCGTCACAAAGGTTCTGAGTGTCCGTACGCGTCTTCTGCGTGCTGCTGCTTGGCTCTGGCTGGTGACAGTCACAGGCTAGGACCGTGCTCGGTGGCCGCGGTGGCCTCCCGTGGGGGCCTCGGTGCCTAGGTGTCCGCTTGGGTCAGCGGGGTGGGGGTGGCAGGGACCCCGCAAGCGTCATGCTCCGCCTCCCATCTCTGACTCGTCGCCCTGCGGAAGGACGCCAGTAGTCGAGTCACCCCATCACCCGTGACTCCCACGTCTATCCTTTGGGACAAAGCGCACCCTGGGGCATCCTGCAGGGTCCCAGGCCGGTGCCTTAGTGCAGTCAGGTTTATAAACGGGTCCTTGGGGGGTGGCTTCTGGAAGAGATCGGCTTGCAAGTAAAGGTTTTGGTCTTTCAGGGAACGCGTGTCAGGACTGTGCCAAGAGGAAGCTGGAGGAAAACGGAACAGAAGTCTCCAAGCGGCCTCGGCAGTCGGACACAGGTATGGTGCTGTCGGTGCCCCATATCGTCAGGAGGTCCGGCGGGGAGGCGGGGTGGCAGGCTCGGTCTCAGGTCGGCCCACAGATTTCACAGGGCGCGTCCGCCACGCAACCACGGCCAGTGCACTAAGCAGTGTCATCGGGCACCTGGGGCTGCCCGCTGTCCCGACTTATGTCCCCTCATTCTCCAGAATAAACCACTTCGAGTCACTATTTCTTGTTCTCTCTGTCACGGACTGAGCTGTTCGTAAACCCGTTACCCGAGTGGATCAGGCCCGGGGCCTCTGGGACGGGATCTGGTGGCGCTCACCCGGCCGGGCCTCATCTCACGCGCCTCATCTCTCGCTGCCCACGTCACGGTGGGACTCCTGGCCCTGCCCTGGACCCCCTCAGCCACCTGAGCCCCGAGTCTCTTCTCTGGGGGCAGCGCTGGGCGTGTGGTCACGGCCCAGGCCGGAGCAAGCCTCCCGGCCTGCCTGTGGGTCGTCACCAGGTTGGGGAACAGGAGCGCTTACCTTAGTAACGGCGCCTGCCTTCCCGTCCTGCTTCAGCGACGTGCGAGGGGCCTGGCGGGGTTGGCGTCGCCGGCAGGGCATCCTCAGTGTCCCGGGCAGGTCGTCTTTCTGTTTGCTGTCGGCTGGCGTCGCTGCTGGTGCTATTTCTTGAGGAGTTTCTAGATTTCTGTTTGCCTTGTCCAAAAACTCACATTTCAGTGTTTTTAATGTGTCATTCTCTTGGTCATACCACCCGGCCTGCTTTCTTGAGACCCTGACCACCTGCTCCGCTGTGAACTGGGCGCGAAGCTGGGCCCCAGTGCCCTCCTGGTCTCCCGTGCCACTGCCCGGCTCCTCCTTCCCTGCGCAGACCTCGTGGGGGCTGTGACAGCCCCATGTGTGGGGCGCCAGCTCCCCGGGGCCCGGGGGGCCTGCGGGTGTCGTCTTGTGGTCCTGCCCCTCCGCACGTGGTGGGGGTGCGGGTTCTGCTTCCTGCTTTCCGAGGGACTCCGCGGTTTCCGGGTCCAGGGTTCCTGCTGGGAGAGGGTCTGTTGCTTACCCCGGTCTCGTGACCTGTAGGTGACTGCTGTTTTCTGTTCTGGAAGCTTTTAGGATCATCTTTTCTCATGTTCAGAAATTTCACGAAGGCGTATTTAGGCGGCCGTCTTTTTTCCACACCTGGCTCAGTTCCGCCCCCTGCTTCTCCAGCCCTGGGTTAACTATGGTTTCCTTGTTTCTTTGGCCTCAGTTCCTTCCTCCTTGATTTCGTCCTGCTTGGAGCTCCTGGAGTGATTCCTGCGGTCTCTCGTTTTCTCTCTCGTCCTCGTGTTCATTTTCAGTCTTCCATCTTTTCAAAAACTTTCTGGGAGATGCTGTGAATGCTGTTCTAGCCTTTGGGTTAAATTTTCATTTTGAGAGCGTTTCCATCCATTTCCGGGAGCTCTTGTTTTCTCATTTGTTTTCTGTCGTAGCATCTTCTGCCCCCGTGACTGTGACAGCTTCTCAAATCTGTAGACACACTAGGGGCTTCCCGGGGTATCTGACTTGACTTCATTCCGGAAAACACTGGGACTGAGGATTTTCAGATAACAGTTAATTTTTAATTCCTTTAAATAAGAAAATCTCAGCACAGTGCTCTCCGACAGCTCTCTGATAGCGCGTTGAGAACGTCTAAGGCTGTGAAGCACGTCACCTGCCGGTACCTGTCACTCAGCGTTTAAACGAATGCTTGGGGGCGTGTTTGAGCTGCCTGGGATGCCGGGTCTTCCTGCCGCAGCACAAGCAGCTTGTGCTGTCCTAATGGTCTATTGCGGCTACAGAGTTCGCCCAGGAGGCAGGGGACGCTGAGAGCCAGCTCTAGGAGCGGCTGCGCACAGTGTCGCTCCCGGTAGGCCTGGTGGCAGGAGGCCACTGGGGCACCCCTGCGGCAGGCCCTCCCGCATACAGCCCTGTGGGGAGAGTGCCGTTGGAGCAGCAGTCCGAGTTCTTTCCGGTCTTCGGCGGGCACCTGGTGTGGGAATGCAGCCAGCAGGGACATCTGTAACCAGGTCAGATGAAACCACTGAGGTGAGCTTGCACTGGCTTCCTCCAGGACAGGTGGCTGTCTCCGGCAGCCTCTCTCCTGCCCCTTGCTCTCGGCCCGCCTGGGACCGCTGGGCCACTGAGCGAAGCAGGCAGACGTGTCTGTTCTCAGCCCGCAGTGCTGCTGCTGTGTCTGCACGCCTGCCCTCCGGCCGGCTCCAGGGCGCGTGGCGCTGTGGCCGGAGAGCCAGTGGGGCTCCACGGTATCCCCCGGTGCCAGCACCGCCCGCCACCGCCACTTCTCCCCGGGCAGGCATGTCCCCTTCTAGAAAGCCTTCCGGGTCCCCGTGGGCTGGAGCGTAAGGAGGAGTGTGGCCGGCTGTCGTCTGCTCGGCTGTCCCGCCGTGCGCCCCTCCCTGCCCTTTGGTGGGCTCCTGCCATCGGCATGGTGACATGGCCCCCCCGTGGGGTGACCCCCGCAGTCTTCTCGGAAGGGAAGGGGCACCCCACCTGTGGGCCGGGACTCCCCGATGGCGTGTACAAGTCAGAGCCGCGTCTAGGCGGCAGCTGCGGCTGTCCGGAGTCACTTTGAAAGCGTGTAGCAGGAAGAAAAGCTGTAGATTGTTCCGGAACTAGATCATCTTCGAAGTACTCCTTCAAGCTGAGCTTAACATTTCCGTATCCCTTTTTTTCTTTTTTTCGTTGAAACAGATGATGCTGGAGGGTCTTGAAATCTTTAAAACCAATAAAGCCTGCAACTTGAAAACCAGCCTTGTAACCGCAGTGCCGTAACCCAAACGATGAGGAATGTTCGGAGAACTCCGCGGGGGCTCTCTTCCCTGAACCCACCCCTCCCCCGACGAGCCGTGTGGCCGCGCGGCCTCAGAGGCTGGTGCGATCCCACCGTGGGCTTTGGCCGCTCGGGAGGTGAGGCGCCGCGGCGGGGCCCGCTGTGCGGCCGGCGGCTGGCTACCTCAGGGACCGCGCGGCGGGCAGCCAGCCCGGGCCTCCGGGCTCCCGCTCCGCACGCCCCCATCGTCAAGGTGGTTTTTCTAATAAAAGGGGAGGGTGAGGACTGTCCAAGCAACAGGAGTCGCCAAAGAGGAAAAACAAAAAACTAGACACTTAAATTTTCTAACCTTTCTGCGGAAACCTGTGTTACTGTAGAGAAACGTGCGCGTGTTTGTGGTTGGCGAGCGGAGCGGGAGCCGGTGCTCCGAGGCACGGCGCCTGCTGCTGAGAACGCGGTGTTTGAAAAAGACCAGCTCCGTGGGCTTCTCCAGAATTCCCTAATTTTGGTGACTTCGGCTCCCAAGAACGGCAGGCCCGAGCTCGGCGGAGGCCCTGGACGGCAGCTCCCTCCTGGCCGAGTCCGCTTGCCGGCCGCCGGCTGAGAACCGGCAAGTGCAGCACGAGACCAAGATCGAAGCTTTAGTTAGAGGGTCGAGTCCAAGTTTTCCGAGTTTTTATTCTATGGGGTAAGGTCCAACCTTTCTGTCCATCTCTTCTGAGTCTCTTCCTCCAGCCCAGTTGTCAGCGAGGCAGGCAGAGCCTGCGGCCGTGCGGGCGGTCGGGGTCTGCTGGGCACAAAGCGCCATGCCGGGCGCTGGTCCGACTGTGACCCTGGCGGGGACCCTGCTTGCTTTCCCTTTCAGAGGCTGCTGTTTTTGATGTGGTTTCTTGCCAAATCCCACGACACTCTCATTGATGGCGCTGGAGCTACCCCAGGTAGAGGGAAGGTTAAGAACAGGAAACACAAGGTTGGGATGTGTCATGAGTGGGAGAGAAGCCAGAGACCTGCTTAAGACTTTTCTTTCTTTTTGAAGCATGAAAAATTTTATGTTACTCTGGTCATAAATAAAATTTTAACTTCAACTTTGTGTGCTCGATTTTGGTTGTGATGTAGTTGATGAGAAGGTTTATCCTGAGTTACCGGTTGTGAAGCCAAGTGACTACTTGAATGTGTTTACATTTTTTAAAAGGCAAATATTTAAGTTGTTGGTTTTTTAAATACACGTTTACAGAGTGCAACCAGGTATGAATGAATCTGAAAGTTGGCTGGACACAGGTAGGCGAGCATGGAAGAGCTGCGTGGGCAGTTCTGCTGACACTCATGAAAATGCCAGTGCCTTCCAGCACGACCGATCTGTTAGAAACAACTTGAGTGTCACTCATTTGCTTGTGTGTGATCTTGTTGGGGAGAAACACTGGATCGGGGGTGATGACAGGATGGTCCTGTCGTAGCTGCGCCCCGGCCGCACGCCACCCCCACCGTCTGGTGGTTGGCAGGAAGGGGGGTGCGTGGTCCTCTCACAAAACAGACCGCACCTTGAGGGATCACTGAGCGTGAGAACAGCTCAGGCAGCGATAAGGGACCGCCCTGAGTTCGTGGGGCCCTACAGGGACATTTCAACATGAAGCTGATGTTTCCAAGGCAGAGGAAGTCCGTGATTTCGAGGGTGTTGCCAAAGTTTTCTTAAGAAAGGAACAGAAGACAGCTAGAGCGGCTTCTGCTATCTGCAGCTGATAGAGCTGGGCCGGGGGAGGGCAGGAAGCGTCTCTGTGGCTTTGGTCTGCTTGCTGGGCACAGAGTGCCCTTCGCTGGCGTGAAGCACGGGGCGGTGTCCCCGAGTGAGCGCCTTAGTCCTTCAGGTGCCTCCCATGAGCACCTGGGCCCAGGCTTCAGTGGAAGACCATCAGCACCTCAGAATTTCTTTTTAATTCCCTTTTGTATTGCTTTTTATGTTTACATATTTACAAACTCTTGTGTCGAGGGGTGACTTTCAGTAGATGGCAGCGAGGGAGCTACTCTGCTAGGTACTAAATTTTATTCCATTTTGAAATGGAAATATTATTGAAAATGCAGCATCTTCCTTTCCTCCCCATAACAACGTACGTAAGTAGTCAGTTACTGGGGAAAGCCTGTGTTCTTCAATATTTTGTTAAGAGAAATTAGAGAAACTTAGATTTCACTAAAGCAGACATAATTCAGTTTCACCTTAAAATAGTTTTGTTTCGGGGCGCCTGGGTGGCTCAGTGGGTTAAAGCCTCTGCCTTCGGCTCAGGTCATGATCTCAGGGTCCTGGGATCGAGCCCAGCATCGGGCTCTCTGCTCAGCAGGGAGCCTCCTTTCCCCCACCACATCCCCCTGCCTGCTATTCTGCCTACTTGTGATCTCTCTGTCAAATAAATAAATAAGTAAATCTTAAAAAAAAAAATAGTTTGTTTCTGAAATTGTAGATTGGAGACGTTTAAAATTAGAATATTCTTTATTGGTATTGTCAATATTGATAACATCCTCTGAAATAACTTCTATAAAACAGGCTCGATGGCCTAGAATTAGCATACTTGAGAACCAAGAGTTTGCCTTAAAGATTACTTAAACATACATGGCAAGACCTGAGCGAAAATAATGCAGAATTCAACATTTTTCTGACTAGCTTTCAAAATGGCAGTTGAAATTATGGCACAAAGTTGTACTTTTTTTTTTTTTTTTAAACCCATGCAATGCTAACTCCTAAAAAACTTGACCCACGGGGAAGGGCCCTGAACTTGGACGGAAGGGAGCTCTGGCGTCTCGTAGGTTGCAGCGGCACACAGACCACTCGACTGCTCCCACACGGACGAAGCACGGGTGACCCTGACCTGCCAGACTGTCCTGTTGGCTCAGGGTCACTTGGGGTCCTAAAGCAACTCTTGGTTTCTTTTGCTGCTTTCCCGGCCTTCGGTGTCTGGATACTGAGAAAGATCCAGGGTCAAAACTCTGCTGAACATGCAGTCATCGTGCTGAATGAGAGAGAGGACAGGGGAGAGTCAGCTCTCTGCTTAGGGACAAAGTGTCATCAAACATCAAGGAAGGGCCACTTGGGAGCCTGGATTTGCACTTAAAAAGGGGCCCTTTTAGAGCCACTGGTCTCCAGTTACGTGGCATCACGCCTGTGCACACGCCAGCCCAGGGTACACCTCTGGCTCACGGAGTGCTGTGAGCGAGGGGCTTCGGACAAACAGCGGCTCAGGAGGGGCGCTGGCAGCGGGCACAGGCATCCCACTGGCTAAGGACACGCGCCGCTGCAGGGGCGGGTGCTCGCTCCACCTCCCCACACTAATGCGCATGTTGCCCTCACCTGCCTCCCTGACCCAGATGCCCCAGACCCCTTCTTCTCTGAGCCTGGAATGATGTGGAAGCCCCAGTCCCAGCCAGCGGCCCGTGGCTGACTCCTCACCAGGTGCGTCCGCTGTGTGCATGCGCAGCGCCCGTGGGAGTAAGCGCTTGGCCTCGCTCAGCTGACTTTGCTGGTCTGATGTACAGAGCCCCAGCCCCAGAGAACCGAAGATGGGCAGAGGAAAAAGATCCTTTCGCTCTCCTGCGCTGGTATGAGAATTTCCAGCGGCCTCTAACGTCTTGGAGGCACAGGAAGGGAGGCTAATTGTTATCTTCATTTAAATGAAAACTCGGGAGTCAAGTGTCCCCACACTGAACCATCTGCACTTCCCGAGCCGATGGAGCAGCTCAGCTCGGGGAGCAGCTAAAGAAAGGTGAATTCTGAGTCACCAGACAACCTGGAATGTCTGATCAATTTGTTCTTGCCTCTGGTCCTTTTAAAAGCTAAATGGGGTCCTTTAGTGCGGCCCACAATGCATTTGTGTTGCCTGAAACATTCAAACATTGGAACACATGAAACAGAATATGAATATTTGCTGGGTATGTCAGCGTGTACCTTAGCAAAGCTATCCCGCTGTTCTGCAAGTTTGGATTTGCCTTTTCACTTGAAGCATTTCTTAAAAATATCTGTGTACTGCCATAGAAAAAAACGAGTTTTTAAAATCTTACTTGGTTTAAAAAAAATCACTTAAGCCCGTATTTATCAGCCGTGGCAATGTGGAAATCAGACCGTATCTCCAGACTGCACTGGTACGCATGGGGAGTGTCGGGAAGCAACCGAGGGACACTTCTCCTTTCCCCGTTGCTGGTCGTTACCTCTGGATAGACACCGATGAGCGCGTCCGCTCGGGAGTAGAACTCCTCCTTTAGGGAAATGATGATCATCTGAAACTGCTCTTGACTCTGCTCTTTGATGTAACTTGACACCTGAGGGAACAAAAGCCCACATTTCACCAGCAGGGAAAGGCCTCGTTGCTGGGCCCCCGGATGGTCTGATGGTCGCTGTGCCTATCTCCAGCTTGACCTGTGGTGGGTGACAAGCCACCTACTTGCCCTTCCGGTAACTCAGTAAAATCCACTATGGAAATAATTCAGATTCTAAAGTGGGAGATTAGTTAAAAACTTGTAAACCTTATTAAATCTATCATCTAAAACATCAAGAATATTTTTAAGAACAGAGCTCTAATTTAAGAGACTGTCCAGTGAAAATGCCGTCAGCGTTCCTAACTAAAACTGCCACCCAGACGCTATGTGTGCGTGCGGACGGAATGGTATTTAAACTTCCAATTTCCTGTGGCGGGAAAGCCAGGAGTGGGAAAAATGCAATTATATATGTATTCAGGACCATAATCTAATTATTTGGTTAGAGTTGAACTCAGTGGCTCTTTCAGGAAGCTCAAATCCCAGGTCACGAGAATGAGAACAAAGTGGGCTCTGGACGGAAATGTCTTGTTGAACAAACTACTCAGAACCCAGGGAAAGATGGGGAAGGACGTGGCCACAGTTTCACAGATGTCTGCCAACTCCCAGCAGGTGTCTGCAGGGCCATAAGGGCTCTTCTCCGTCTGTGTCAGTCCTGACTGCACCAAGGCCCTGGAGGCAGGCACGGCAGCCTCGGGCGGGGAGCGAGTCACTAGCCCGGGTGAGTGATGAAGAGGGGAGACCGCCCTTGGCTAAGAGGCTGGATCCACCAGGCAGAAGGAACTCCATCCGGCATTTGAGGTGATGGGAGTCACTAGGATGTGGGACCGTGACGTCGCGGGATGCTGACACGAGTGGAAGGTGAGGCAGAAGGCACACGTTTGGCCTGGAGAGTTACCTGCGGTAAATGGGGGCACCAGACCATGGGAAGGAGGGGGAGCTACTTGGGGTCTGCTCGTCCTCCATCTGCTCATACTCAGGGCAGCAGAGTGGCCAGGAGGGTAAACCTCAAGGGAAGACTGAAAGT